GTTGTGGCCCCGCCCTACCCCTTGGGGTCATGATTTGAACAAAAATTGAATGTCCACTGCCTGAGGATGTTTCTATAAAAATATGATCATTCATGCCTTTGCTATTCTTGAGAAGAATATTTCTAAAGAATTTTTACTATATATTTCTATGTAACACTTTGATCTGCCATTGTGGCCCCGCCCAACCCCCGAGGGTCATGATTTGAACAAACTTGAATCTACACTACCTGAGGATGCTTTCCTATAAGTTTCATCTTTCCTGGCACAGTGGTTCTTGAGAAGAAGATTTTTAAAGAATTTTCCTATATATTACTATGTAACACTTTGATCGGCCATTGTGGCCCCGCCCAACCCCCGGGGGTCATGATTTGAACAAACTTGAATTTACACTACTTGAAGATGCTTCCCTTTAAGTTTCATTTTTTCTGGCACAGTGGTTCTTGAGAAGAGGATTTTTAAAGAATTTTCCTATATATTTCTATGTAAAACTTTGATCTGCCATTGTGGCCCCGCCCAACCCACGAGGGTCATGATTTGAACAAACTTGAATCTACACTACCTGAGGATGCTTCCCTGTAAGTTTCATTTTTCCTGGCACAGTGGTTCTTGAGAAGAAGATTTTTAAAGAATTTTCCTATATATTTCTATGTAACACTTTGATCGGCCATTGTGGCCCCGCCCAACCCCCGGGAGTCATGATTTGAACAAATTTGAATCTACACTATCTGAGGATGCTTCCCTATAAGTTTCATCTTTCCTGGCACAGTGGTTCTTGAGAAGATTTTTAAAGAATTTTCCTATATATTTCTATGTAAAACTTTGATCGGCCATTTTGGCCCCGCCCTACCCCTAGGGGTCATGATTTGAACAAACTTGAATCTACACTACCTGAGGATGCTTCCCTATAAGTTTCATTTTTCCTGGCACAGTGGTTCTTGAGAAGAAGATTTTTAAAGAATTTTCCTATATATTTCTATGTAAAACTTTGATCGGCCATTTTGGCCCCGCCCTACCCCTAGGGGTCATGATTTGAACAAACTTGAATTTACACTAGTTGAGGATGCTTCCCTATAAGTTTCATCTTTTCTGGCACAGTGGTTCTTGAGAAGAAGATTTTTAAAGAATTTTCCTATGTATTTCTATGTAAATCTTTGATCGGCCATTTTGGCCCCGCCCTACCCCCAGGGGTCATGATTTGAACAAACTTGAATTGACACTAATTGAGGATGCTTCCCTATAAGTTTCATTTTTCCTGGCACAGTGGTTCTTGAGAAGAAGATTTTTAAAGAATTTTCCTATATATTTCTATGTAAAACTTTGATCGGCCATTTTGGCCCCGCCCTACCCCTAGGGGTCATGATTTGAACAAACTTGAATTTACACTAGTTGAGGATGCTTCCCTATAAGTTTCATCTTTCCTGGCACAGTGGTTCTTGAGAAGAAGATTTTTAAAGAATTTTCCTATGTATTTCTATGTAAATCTTTGATCGGCCATTTTGGCCCCGCCCTACCCCCAGGGGTCATGATTTGAACAAATTTGAATTGACACTAGTTGAGGATGCTTCCCTATAAGTTTCATCTTTCCTGGCACAGTGGTTCTTGAGAAGAAGATTTTTAAAGAATTTTCCTATGTATTTCTATGTAAAACTTTGATCGGCCATTTTGGCCCCGCCCTACCCCCAGGGGTCATGAGTTGAACAAATTTGAATCTACACTACCTGAGGATGCTTCCCTATAAGTTTCATCTTTCCTGGCACAGTGGTTCTTGAGAAGAAGATTTTTAAAACATACCATCAAATTTTTATAATTTCTTAATTATCTCCCCTTGAATAAGGGCGTGACCCTTCATTTGAACAAACTTGAATTCCCTTGACCTAAGGATACTTTGTGCCAAGTTTGGTTGAAATTGGCCCAGTGGTTTTTGAGAAGAAGTCGAAAATGTGAAAAGTTTACAACGACGACGACTACGACGACAACGACGACGACAACAACGACAGACAACGGACAAATTTTGATCAGAAAAGCTCACTTGAGCCTTTGGCTCAGGTGAGCTAAAAATGGTCCGAACTCGAAGGAGGGTCAAACTTTCTTTCACTTTAAAATTTTATCAAATACCGGAATGCATTACCAAAACACTACGATGTAACAATGCTACAACAAAAGAAGGGGACGTGTTTTAGAAAGGGGGCTCCCCCTCTCGCTACTACGAGCCTGTAAATATTGCATATCTGTTATTAAAAAAAACAACATTTGTTTACTGTATATATTATCATGTCCGAACCTTGGTCAGATACGTTCGAACCATGGTAAAAATCGCTTGATGAATTTAACTTCTAGTTGGAACAGAGGTATTTAGTGTTTTGGTGATATATTGACAATTGATAAAACCCGAAAGGTTCCAAAACACTTTCCAGTTGATAGTAAGAGTCTAGACCACTGTCACTCGGAACAACAGCTTATTGCTTGTAAGCAAAACAAGAACCGTCCGAACCATGGTCAGTTTGCCCTAATGTGAATGGGGCCAGCTCACTATATATATTGGATCCTTGACCTATAGGCTTATGAATTCTACCCGTTTGCTCATTACACTTTGCAACCCGTAATATTAGTTGATTTGAGAGAGTTTTAAATTATCAAATATCTAAATTGTAAAGTTTAATTTATGAAAATACATTACACATTCAGTCTGACGTAAATACATGGAAATCTGTTCACTGTGACAAAATTTGTGCATCCCGGGCCGTCGGGCGCAAAGTTATTTCAAACAATGAATCGATATTTCTTTGACTAACTATGGCTTTTTTACCCTTAAAGTTTGTGCCCCCTTTCCTCGGCTGTGATGACTGGAACAAAATTAAATCTACACTACCTGAGGATGATTCCACATGAATTTCATCTTCCTGGCTCTGTGGCTCTAGAGAAGAAAATTTTTAAAGATTTTTCCTATATACTCCTATGTAAAACTTTGTAACTATGTAAATCAGCCATTGTGGCCCCACCCTACCCCCAGGGGTCATGATTTGAATAAATTTGAATCTACACTACCTGAGGGTGATTCCACATGAGTTTAATCTTTCCTGGCCCAGTGGTTCTTGAGAAGATTTTTTAAAAAATGCCATTAATTTTTTCACTAATTTATAATTTTCTCCCTTGGAAGAGGGCGTGGTCCTTCATTTGAACAAACTTGAATCCCCTTTATCCAAGGAGTTTGATTGAAACTGGACCAGTGGTTCTTGAGAAGAAGATGAAAATGTGAAAAGTTTACAACGACGACAGACAAGAACAAATTTTTATCAGAAAAACTCACTTGAGCTTTCGGCTCAGGTGAGCTAAAAATGTGGCAACCTATAGATTTTTTGCAATTATAAGTTAAATCAAACTATATTGAGCATTCAGTGATAAAAAATTGGTAGTGACTAGTGACTGTTTCTTTGCCACACGCTTGGCACTTTGAAGTAAAAGTTGCTCAATGACCCTCGTGTCTGAGTGCCAGACAGTATCTTGTCTACAGACAGACTGATTCCATATACCCCCCTCCCCCTAAACTTCTTCTGTGGGCTGTATAATAAACACTGCAATTTACTTTAAATTGGTAAATTATTGATTTTTTTCCCAGAAAATTTTATAAGTCTGTTTGGACTAATTAGCCACAGATTTTATTAGTTTGAATGAAAATGTATGTCTTTGAATAATCGACTAACGTTAATGTCGAATCCTGATGAGAATGTATGTGTCAAGTTTTTTGCTTTATTTTTGTTTTGTTTTGTTGTTTTTTTTTAATTGAGCAAAAAAAAAAAAAAAAAAAAATCTTACATCCTTAAGATATTTTGAAGAAATTCTTAGATCCAGTTCTCCTGTCTGGTCAATGATAAACATTTTCTTTACATAAAACCTATTGTTAGGCCAAACAAAAAAATATCTTTGTTTACTGTTACATGCTGAAATAAAATACGGTCGGTAGGTAGGAATTTTTTTTTATTTTATTGAATTTTTTTATGCACAAATTCACATGAATTGGTTGAATTACAAAACAGTTTTACCATTGCATGGTGCCTTACTTTTGTTTGGCTTGAAATATGGGTGGTTTCTTACCAACTGCCTTAGGTGTGCAATTAAAAAATATCAAGTACTAGCCCACAGGCTTGTAACAGCAATAAACATGATAAAGTTATTAGCCCGAAGTTAAAAGTGAGCAGTCCAAATATAGGGGCAAAAAATTGTAAAAACAAATATTGTAAAATGTTCATTGTTGAGAAAGTCAGGGTCCTAAGCCATCCCTTTTAAAGTTGAAGTTTAAAAATTTTAAGAAATTATCTTTTCTTTTCTGAACATATTGAACTATAGTGTAGCTTATCTAAAATGAAGCAAAATCATTTTATTTTCATTTCAAACCATAAAATACAATTGATATATATAAAGTTTAACCACATAACACTTAGCAATTAGTTGATTGGGGGACCGTAAATAATGGAAAGAGATATCTGCATGTATTTACCATTAACAGAGGAATGGAGGAAATTCGGATTAGGAAAAAACGATTATTTTTTTAAGTAATTAATAAGTCAGGTAGTACTTCAAAATGGATAAGGTTAAAGTAATTTAAGAACAGTTGGAGCATGCTGCCTGAAAAAATTTCATTAGTTGGAAATTAAATAGCAAAACAATGAGTGAAAATACCGTTTGTATTTCTCATGTATTATATGCATAATTTTAATTTTTACTACCCCAAAAACGGTAGCACCGGGCATCAGGCAATGCTAGTTGCACACCCCTGCAACTGCCACGCAATGTTAAGCAAATTGCAACGAACTCGTTGTTGTAGAAATTGAACTCGCTGGTTTTGTTTTTGTACTTTCAATTTCGATTTCAAAGATGAATGTAAAAGTTAAACTGACCGGCCAGTAACTTCCGGATTTCTACGACGAAAAAAAAGTTTGGGTCGGCGATGAAAATTAGGGTCAGTCGGGTAACCGTAAACAAACATAATTTTTTGTTACGCCTTATCATCATACTGGAAATCTGCTCCAGAGGGTCTTTTCACCACACCTAATGTATCTGTAAATTTTAAAAAAAGATTACACATTAGTTTAAAAAACTGCTTTATCATTGTGTACTAAAATAGTTTTATTATATTTAATTACGTTGAGGACTTGAAAATTTCCCAATAAGAACAGAGGTGATCTTTGGTATCGGGGGAAGTTTCAAAAAACAGGTTTTACTAGTATCTGGGTCTAGAATTTAAGGGCCTTAGCCTTTCCAATTGGGTAAAATTAGCAACATCTGCATATTCAAGTTTCTGTGTTTCAAGTTTCTGTGAGCTTACCAAAAGGTTTTGAGGGTTTAGGTATTTTGAGAACCTCCTCGAGTGGCAATGGGTCGAAATGAATGTTCTAGTGTCAGCATCTTCTGTGTTCCAGCTACTACCGCTACTACTCACACTTGCCGCCTCACTAATGCCGCTGTCCTGAGATAGGGACTGGGAAGAGCCATCAACAGGTTCAATTAAAGGCTTTCCCTTATTAAACTTCAACTCATATTTGTGGGGGCTCTTGTACTCTTTGTTTGCTTTCTTCAAATCTGCCCTTATTCCAGTAACAAAGTACTCCTAAAAAATATTAATGTGTATTAACAATTAATAAAATCATACCAGAATGTGAAACATTCTCATATTTTCTCCTTTTGTTCCAAAACATGCATCTCTAGATATTAATCATCTATGCATCTATGCATCTAAACAATGCATATTATTCTCAATAATGAAGCTTGAATGTTTATAATAAATATATCATGTGAATGGTTTTAGTATTATTATTCTTCCATAAAATTTAATAGCAATAATTAGTATTAATTTTGATTAATTATGTGTGCAAGTAATAAAGTTCCACATCAACATGATCAATATTTATCAAATCTATATAATTACTATTTTGTATGCCTTTCAATGTTTTCTTTCCATTCAAGAAAACATGTTGATTTATTATATCAAAAAGACATTGTCATACAGTTTTTGAAAAAGTGGTCTTATATTATATAACACCTTCATGTAAAAGCTTGAATTAATATACATGTATGCACATATAGGAGAGCTAAGTTTTATTCCATTTGTATAGACATAGAAAAGCAGGTACAATTTATAAACATAATAACCTGCACCATACGCAACAGAAATTTTTTTTTTTTTACCAGATTTAGAATGGTTGAGGATATGAAACAAACAAGAGGCCCATGGGCCACATCGCTCACCTGAACACTGTGGCTAGGAAAAGTAGAAATTGGTTTATTATTGAAAAGTTTAAATCCCATAGTAGTCCCATGACCAATCATGGATTTGCTATTCTTGAGAAGATGATTTTTGAAGAATTTTCCTATATATTTCTATGTAAAACTTTGGTCGGCCATTTTGGCTCCGCCCTACCCCTGGGGGTCATGATTTGAACAAACTTGAATCTACACTACCTGGGGATGCTTCCATATAAATATGATGAAATATGGCTTTGTCATTCTTGAGAAGAAGATTTTTAAAGAATTTTCCTATATATTTCTATGTAAAACTTTGGTCGGCCATTTTGGCCCAGCCCTACCCCTGGGGGTCATGATTTGAACAAACTTGAATCTACACTACCTGGGGATGCTTCCATATAAATATGATGAAATATGGCTTTGTCATTCTTGAGAAGAAGATTTTTAAAGAACTTTCCTATGTATTTCTATGTAAAATTTTGGTTGGCCATTTTGGCCCCGCCCTACCCCCGGGGGTCATGATTTGAACAAATTTGAATCTACACTACCTGGGGATGCTTTCTTATAAATATGATGAATTATGGCTTTGTCATTCTTGAGAAGAAGATTTTTAAAGAATTTTCCTATAAATTTCTATGTAAAACTTTGGTCGGCCATTTTGGCCCCGCCCTACCCCTGGGGGTCATGATTTGAACAAATTTTAATCCACACTACCCCAGGATGCTTCCACATAAGTTTCAGCTTTCCTGGCCCAGTGGTTCTTAAGAAGAAGATTTTTAAAACATGCCACCAAATTTTTATTCATTCCCAATTATCTCCCCTTGAATGAGGGCGTGGCCCTTCATTTGAACAAACTTGAATCCCCTTCACCCAAGGATGCTTTGTAGCAAGTTTGGTTGAAATTGGCCCAGCGGTTCTTGAGAAGAAGTCGAAAATGTGAAAAGTTTACAGACAGACAGACAGACGAACAGACGGACAAAATGTGATCAGAAAAGCTCACTTGAGCTTTTCGGCTCAGGTGAGCTAAAAACACAGTGAATGTCAGTCAGTTTACCTTGTTGTTCTCAATCTCAGACTCTAATTCTCTCGCCATGATGCCAAATGCCACTCCTCTAATTTCTGCACTGTCATCTCTAAATAGCACTGCAAATCTATAACCATCTCCTTTCTTGTTACGAAAGTTTTTCTGTTCTTCTGTTTTTGTTTCTATTTCAATAGTTGCCTTGATTTTCCAGCTAGCAAGAGAGAAAGGTAACTAACAAGAGGCCAAAGGGCCTTGAATCGCTCTTCTGATAAATTGTACTACCTATCACTTGTATTTGAAGCCTCTAACCCTAAGTATCCTAAAACCCAAGTTGCATCAACTGATAAAAAGTTTGATGATTCTTAGCCAATTAGGACTGAAGATATTTTAATAAAGCTACAAAAAAAAAACCATGAGTAGGTCACGGTGACCTACTTTAAGATTGAAGTTTTCTGAGGACTCAAGATGCATTAATAGACAAACTAAGATTGAAGATTCTAAGCCAATATGTATTTGAGATATTTAAAAGTGGGTCACCTTGACCTACATTTTGGTCTACATTCTTGGAAAACCCAAGATGCATCAACTGACAAAGTTTGATGATTCTAAGCCAATAAGTACCAAAGAAACTTAAATATAGCCATAGAATGTCGAAAGTAGGTTATCATGACCTACATTTTAGTCGACATTTTTCAGAGTCTCAAGATGCATCTTCTGACAAAGTTGGATAATCTAAGCCAATAAATACCTGAGATATTCAAAAGTATGTCACCGTGACCTACTTTTTGGCTGACATTCTCTGAAAACCCAAAGGGCATAAACTAACAAAGTTTGATGATTCTAAGCCAATAAGTACCGGAGATACTTAAATATAGCCATAAAATGTCAAAAGTAAGTCATCGTGACCTACTTTTTGGTCGACATTCTCCGAAAACCCAAGATGCATCAACTGACAAAGTTTGATGATTCTAAGCCGATAAGTACTGGAGATACTTAAATATAGCCATTAAATGTCAAAAGTAGGTCATCGTGACCTACATTTTGGTTGACATTTATCAGAGGCCTAAGATGCATCTGCTGACCAAGTTTGATAATTCTAAGCCAATAAATACCTGAGACATTCAAAAGTAGGTCACTGTGACCTACTTTTTGGTCGACATTCTCTGAAAACCCAAGAGGCATAAACTAACAAAGTTTGATGATTCTAAACCGATAAGTACCAGAAATACATAAATATAGCCATTAAATGTCAAAAGTAGGTCACCGTGACCTACTTTTTGGTCAACATTCTCCGAAAACCCAAGATGCATCAACTGACAAAGTTTGATGATTTTAAGCTGATAAGTACTGGAGATACATAAATATAGCCATAAAATATTGAAAGTAGGTCACCGTGACCTAATTTTTGGTCGTCACTCTCCGAAAATCCAAGATGCATCAACTCACAAAGTTTGATGATTCTAAGCCACTAAGTACCTGGGTATTCGAAAGTAGGTCACGGTGACCTACATTTTGGTTGACATTTTTCAGAGTCCCAAGATGCATCAGCTGACCAAGTTTGATGATCGTTGGTCTGAAGGTAATCAAAATATGCCTTTTAAACAATTTGAAAACAAATGCCTGCAAAATTCTAAAAGTAGGTCACAGTGACCTACTTTTACTTAAATATGTTTTAAGCTCCCAAGATGCAGCAACTTACAAGATTTGATGATTCTAACCCTCTCAGTGTCTGAAATAATGGGATGAAATGTTTTAAAAAGGATAAGTCATAAAGTTCAAAAAGTAGGTCAGGGTGACCTACTTTTAAGTTGACATTGTTCAAGGACCCAAGATGCATCAACTGACAAAGTTTGATGATCATAGGCCTTAAAGTGTCCAAAATATGCCTTCAAATCAATTTGAAAACAAATGCCCGCAAAATTAAAAAAGTAGGTTATCGTGACCTACTTTTGAGTTAACATGATTAGAAGTCCTAAGATGCATCAACTTACAACATTTGATGATCCTAGTCCTTATAGTAAGCAAAATATAGACATTTTCATTAATTGTAAATTTAGGTCAACTTTGAAGTGACCTTGAGACCACGCCCTTTGCCCCAGGGTCATGCCTTGAACAATTTTTAATCTTCAACATATCCTGATCATTGTATGTAAGTTTGGTGAAAATCTGCCTGGTGGTTCTGGAGAAGAAGATTTTTTTGCAACCAGTACTTTTGGTTTTGTTTTCCTGATTATCTCCCCTTGTTTTAGGGTCCCAACCCTTATTTTAGTATAAATGGTAGCCCTTGGGCCAAGGATACCCTGTGACAAATTTGACACTGATTGGCCAAGGGGTTCTCGAGTTATGGCCAATATTCTAAAAAGTTAACGCACACCGCACAACGCACACCGCACAAATGGCCATAGCATTAGCTCTTTGAGCCTTTGGCTCAGAAGAGCTAAAAATGATCATTTGTGTAATTTAGACAATAACAAGAGGCCCATGGGCCACATCGCTCACCTGAGTAACTTGGGTGATGCAGTTCTTTACCAGATTCCCCCTCTTGCTATACCTATCATGCCCACTACCCCTTTCCCTTTAATGATTTTAAGACTTTACAATCTACACTACCCAAGAATGCTTTCACATAAGTTTCAACTTTCCTGGCCCAGTGGTTCTTGAGAAGAAGATTTTTAAAGATTTGTTCTATGTATTTCTATGTAAAGCTTGGATTCCCTATTGTGGCCCCCCCTACCCCCGGGGGTCATGATTTTGACAATTTAATATCTACACTACCCAAGGATGCTTCCACATAAGTTTCAACTTTCCTGGCCCAGTGGTTCTTGAGAAGATTTTAAAAGTTTGTTCCCATATATTTCTATGTAAAACTTGGATTCCCTATTGTGGCCCTGCCCTACCACCGGGGGTCATGACTTGAACAATTTAGAATCTACACTATCCCAGGATGCTTTCATATAAGTTTCAGCTTTTCTGGCCCAGTGGTTCTTGAAAAGAAGATTTTCAAAGATTTTTCCTATATATTTCAATGTAAAACTTGGATTCTCCATTGTGGCCCCGCCCTCCCCACAGGAGACATGGTTAGAACAATTTAGAATCTGCACTACCAAAGGATGCTTCCACACAAGTTTCAGCTTTCCTGTCACAGTAGTTCTTGAGAGGTAGATTTTTAAAGATTTGTTCTATATATTTCTATGTAAACTTGGATTCCCCATTGTGGCCCCGCCCAACCCCCTTGGGATCATGATTTGAATAATTTAGAATCTACACTACCCCAAGATGCTTTCACATAAGTTTCAGCTTTTCTGGCCCAGTGGTTCTTGAGAAAAAGATTTTTTAATGACCTCACCCTATTTTTGTCTTTTCTTGATTATCTCCCCTTATGAGGGGACTTGGCCCTTCATTTTAACATTTTAAGTTCCCCTTCACCCAAGGATGCTTTGTACCAAGTTTGGTCAAAATTGGCTCAGTGGTTCTTGAGAAAAAGTCGAAAATGTGAAAAGTTTACAGACGGACAAAATGTGATCAGAAAAGCTCACTTGAGCCTTCAGCTCAGGTGAGCTAAAAAGAGCAGCACTACTTTGATTTAATGATACATAACATGGCCATGTTTTACAGTGAGGATCTTTAAGGAATACGGTATCCACCTGGTTAGAACTGACATGACTATACTATACCTACATGTACTTTGCTGATGAAATACAGAACCCAGCAATACCACTTACATGTACAATACTAACCAATCTTATGCAATGATTGTTCACGAGAATCAATGCAGTAAACAATAATGATGAATAATCACATATGGACCCTGGACAGGCAAAGCAAGTTTTAATCTTCATAATGATATTGATCGCTGCGTAGAATAATAGTAGCACCGTTTAGCTTTACTTATTTCATGCTTTAAATATTTTCATAGTATTAACTCCATTTGGTCATATCACAACAAACACATGCATGTATGACATGTTGCTTTAAAGTTTGAAGGACAGAAAGGGTCTTTTACTGACCAAATGCTACATGTAAATACAAATGCCACACTGGAAAACAATCATTCAATATGAGTATATGACTGGACAGTGATATCTGGGTATTGTTGGATTCCGTGTTTCATACGCAAAGAAGTACATGTATTGATTTCATTCAAATCAAGAATCAAATTGTTGAACAAGTCCATGCAGTCCAAAGACTATTTCTACCTACGTAGCTATTAATAGGTATTTAAACCTACCCAAAGTAGCTATATTTACCTACTTTCTGTATTATCTGCATTTTGTGAACAAAAGACCAAACGGCGCAACATGCCGGTGAATGCCATATATTTTGATACACTCACACTATTGAATGATGAATACGACGATATTTTGGCCAAAAAATGATTACTTCCGAAATCTTTAATTTTACATTATTTTCTATGCAAAATTGTTAATTTACGAAGTAATCATTTTTTGGTCCAATTTTTGTCATATCCATCATCAGTGTAACTGTATCAAGAAATATGGTACTCACTATATTGCGCCGTTCAGCCGTTTGGCCACAAAATGCAAGTAAAGCAGAAAGTAGGTAAAAATAGCTACTTTGGGTAGATTAAAATATACCTACGTAGCTATTAATAGTCTTTGGACTGGACCTGTTGAATATTATGGTAATCAATTTGCTAAATAAACTTAATAAACATGATAAAGTTAAACTAACAGACAACAGTATATTATTCTACCTACATAGCTAAATGTACTGATTGCACTAGACCTGCTTAATTAAACAAATGAACTACATATCCATCACTGTCATGATCATCAACTGATCAAGCCTCCGAATCTCGATTATTATTATCCGTGCTATCATGTCGATCTCCTAGATATGGCAAGAAATTGGTACTGCGTTTTTAGGTGATACTTTTGTTTTCATTTTAAGATACTTACTAGTAATTAATACAAATAATTGTTGTGTAAAATAATTTCAGGATTTTCACTTTTGTATTTACTCATCTACATACTTTAAACATCAAGGGTACTTATTCCACTGTTGTATTCAGGCATATTCTTTTTTGTACATATTGTGTAATTAAAATGCTTTCATTTCCCTGCTTTTCCTTGGGTTTCACATATCTAGTAACAATTTCTTCGGAACAAATTTTTGGTATTAGGAAATGCAGTTTGAAAAAAAATATGTGTGGATGGAAATACCTGAATTAATAACATTACATGATTGATAATTTTAATTCTTTTGAAAATAACAAATTCATAAAAATTAAAATTTTGATACTATTTAATTTTACAATGACCTTTCCACAGTAAAGAGAAATAATTTATATGATTGATAATTAAAAATAATAATAAAAAAAAAAGTTGTTGGACATCTCCAAAAAAGGAGCCTTGATTAATTTAAGTGGTTTATAGTTTACCCCAAGAATTCACATAACTAAAAAAGTTGAAAAGTATGAGCTAAAACTTACCCATTTGGCATTTAATCCAGGTATCACAACAGATACTAACTATGAAAACACCACTATGAGAACGGCAGTCAATCACATTAAAACAGTTAATAAAACAGTTAATCACTGTAAAAACAAAAGTTTGTCACTATGAAAACACCAGGTAGCGGTCAGTAGCAAGTAGCAATTACCCTCAAGGCAGACTACAGGTAACTGATTCCTTATTCAGACAGGTAATGAGTGGGCGTGTACTCTTCTGTTATTAGCCAATGAAAACACCTGTACCCATTGTACCCACTGTACCTTAGAGACTCAAAGATATCTTGAAGAAAAATCTACTTTCATTTTCCTATGGTTTTGTACTGTACCCTTTTTGTAACCTTTTCTCCATACAATTAATAGGGGTGTACCCTAGGGTACAAAAGTATCACCTAAAAACGCAGTACCAATTTCTTGCCATATATGCGATCTCCACCCCTGAACAATTTTCTCATGCCTCCACCAACGATCGTACTTACTATAATGGTTGAGGTGTCAGTTTTGCAATTTTGTACAGTTTGACATTACCGGAACTTTTTTGTGCCATGTTAATAAATTTTAGCACTGTTTATCCTTTGAACAGCTGTCGAACTTCTTTATCCAAATTTCGGCGGGAAGTTTTGAATTTGTAATTTACAAATCGGAGACGGTTCGAAAAAGCCGGATATGGATGCGTCTATTTACGTAGAATCAGGAAGAATGTTGCATCGTTTTTGTAAAAAGGGACAGCTAGAAAAAATAATTGGTACCTAACTGGGAATTAACGACAGATCAAATAAAAGGATAGTTTTCACAAATTATTAACACAACAAAGAGTTTTGTTTTTTTTTAGGGTGGGGATAATGTTCCATTTTACGACAAAAAGGATGGTGTTTGTGGACTGGTGTAAAAGAAAAGGTACAAAATAAAAAGGCAAAGATCAATTTAAAAAAAACTCAGTACATAGAACAGTTACAAAGTCCTAGTACTGGTATATAGGACAAAATTTGTAGCTCTCCAACGTACGGCAAGTGCATGGTGCACGGCGTCTCCATATGAGTGAAAAATTCTCGAGAGGGATATTAAACAATACAATCAATCAATTTATTACAGTTCTTCTAGTACTTATACCAATATCAATGATGGGGTGAAGAGGAAAGATCACTCCACATTTCGATACAAGACTTGCAAAATTTTAAAAAAGCACAAAATGAAAACAAAATGAAATCTCAGCCTGATAAAAAGTTTTCATTCGATTGTATAATACCGGTATACAAATATTATTTTTAACCCCCCCCCCCCCCCGAAGGACTATCAGCGATTTAATTTTTTTTTTGCTTGTGAAATTTCTGGATTTGATTTTATTTACTGGGGTGGACCCTAGCTGGAAAAAAAATTCTGGATCCGTACCTGAAGGTGATATGAATGTTAATTTCTTACTACATTACTAGCTATATTGTAATAAATATATAAAGTTGATCATACAGAAGCGTCGGAAGGAAATTGAAAGGGGGGGGGGCTAAGTTTAAACAAAAAAAATACCTCCAGAAAAACCTGACAAGCTAAAAAAACAAGAGGCCCATGGGCCACATCGCTCACCTGAGAAGCTTTGACCATTCTGTTCTTTACCAGATTTCCCCCTTGTTATACATAATGCATCCCCACCCTACCCCACTGATCATAATTTAGACATTTTGAAATCTACACTACCCCATGATCCTTCCATGGGCACATATGTTTCAGCTTTTTTGGCCCAGTGGTTCCTGAGAAGAAGATTTTCAAAGATTTTTCCTATATATTTCTATGTAAAACTTTGATTCCCTATAATGGCCCCGCCCTTCCCCCGAGGGTCATGATGTGAACAATTTAGAATCTACACTATACCAGGATGCTTCCACATAAGTTTCAGCTTTTCTGGCCCAGTGGTTCTTGAGAAGAAGATTTTCCCTATATATTTCTATGTAAAACTTTGATTCCCCATTGTGGCCCCGCCCTTCCCCCGGGGGTCATTATTTGAACAATTTAGAATCTACATTATACCAGGATGCTTCCACATAAGTTTCAGCTTTTCTGGCCCAGTGGTTCTTGAGAAGAAGATTTTCAAAGATTTTTCCTATATATTTCTATGTAAAACTTTGATACCCCATTGTGGCCCCGCCCTTCCCCCGGGGGTCATGATGTGAACAATTTAGAATCTACACTATATCAGGATGCTTCCACATAAGTTTCAGCTTTTCTGGCCCAGTGGTTCTTGAGAAGAAGATTTTCGAAGATTTTTTCTATATATTTCTATGTAAAACTTTGATACCCCATTGTGGCCCCGCCCTTCCCCCGGGGGTCATGATGTGAACAATTTAGAATCTACACTATATCAGGATGCTTCCACATAAGTTTCAGCTTTTCTGGCCCAGTGGTTCTTGAGAAGAAGATTTTCAAAGATTTTTCCTATATATTTCTATGTAAAACTTTGATACCCCATTGTGGCCCCGCCCTTCCCCCGGGGGTCATGATGTGAACAATTTAGAATCTACACTATCTCAGGATGCTTCCACATAAGTTTCAGCTTTTCTGGCCCAGTGGTTCTTGAGAAGAAGATTTTCGAAGATTTTTTCTATATATTTCTATGTAAAACTTTGATTCCCCATTGTGGCCCCGCCCTTCCCCTGGGGGTCATGATGTGAACAATTTGGAATCTACACTATATCAGGATGCTTCCACATAAGTTTCAGCTTTTCTGGCCCAGTGGTTCTTGAGAAGAAGATTTTCAAAGATTTTTCCTATATATTTCTATGTAAAACTTTGATTCCCCATTGTGGCCCCGCCCTTCCCCTGGGGGTCATTATTTGAACAATTTAGAATCTACATTATACCAGGATGCTTCCACATAAGTTTCAGCTTTTCTGGCCCAGTGGTTCTTGAGAAGAAGATTTTCAAAGATTTTTCCTATATATTTCTATGTAAAACTTTGATACCCCATTGTGGCCCCGCCCTTCCCCCGGGGGTCATGATGTGAACAATTTAGAATCTACACTATATCAGGATGCTTCCACATAAGTTTCAGCTTTTCTGGCCCAGTGGTTCTTGAGAAGAAGATTTTTTAATGACCCAACCCTATTTTTGTCTTTTCTTGATTATCTCCCCTTGCGAGGGGATATGTCCCTTCATTTTAACAATTTAAATTCCCCTTCACCCAAGGATGCTTTGTACCAAGTTTGGTCAAAATTGGCCCAGTGGTTCTTGAGAAGAAGTCGAAAATGTGAAAAGTTTACAGACGGACAGACAGACGGACAGACAGACAGACGGACGGACGGACGACGGACAAAATGTGATCAGAAAAGCTCACTTGAGCCTTCGGCTCAGGTGAGCTAAAAAAAAAAGGAAATCTCCCAAACACGAAAATCCTATTTCGGGGGGGGGACTTCAATACCACATTTTTAATCCAAAAACCACCACTTTCCCCATTTTTAACCTGTAATGCGACGTTTCTGTGGAAAGTGGGTGGGCTAAACCTACTGAACAATGTTCCATGTCTATAATATACTAAGTATATATAAATTTGGGAAAAAAGTGGGGGGGCTAAGCCCCCCTAGCCCCCCCCCCCCCCCCCCCCCCCCCCCCCCCCCCCCCCCCCCGGTTCCGACGCCTATGTCATAGGGGAAAGTTGAAGTCAAAAGCAAGAGAAATAGGATTTGATCATACATCAACAAAACAGAACAGAAGTTACACAATTTACACTACATGATTGATAGAGCCCACCATAAAACCAAACTGGGCCACAAAATCCATAATTTTGCAAGAAGCACTCTTGCTCGTCATAACATTGTGATTAGTCTTTTGCCTATACATGTAATACCCTAGAGCTCTTTTTTTTTTTTATCTCATGACAAAAACACATTTTGCAGTAAACATTTTGGCTTTGATATATATCCTTTTAATGGCCAGAGATCTTTAGGAATGCTGATCACAAGGGGGTGGTACATGTATGTGGGAAATCATGAAAAAAATAAAAATTGCATCAAGTAACTTCTGTTTAATGTTCTGCAGTATGAAGGAGGGGAACAATCCTATGGTGCAAAAAGGTCTTGGCACAGGGCTTAGGTGAAGATTGATTATATGTTGTTTAAGGTCCCTCTCAAGGATTTTTCACTCATATTGAGACGCCACCACTTGTCGGCGGAAAGCTGCACTTAGGACCACTGAGCATTGAGGGATCTTTTTTGTGCCAGCACCTACAGCGACACGGGACCTCGACTTATACGGTCTCATCATAAGAACTGGGCTCCACGTCCCACAGTGGGATTTGAACCAGTGATGTTAGGATCGACTCTTTACTTAGCGACTCTAGAGCTGACACTCTAACCACTGCGCCACATGGTTGACTAAAAAGTATGAAGAAAAACTATGTATCTTTTTTAAAAATGCTTTTAGAGTGCAACTTTTTCACTTTCCTCCTTCATTTTCCTTTGTCAGCTTCTGTTGTTCGCCTCTATCTTCTGACGCCTAGATTGTGTTTCAGCTAGCCTATTAAACAGAACCTATACTGACCAATATCTGAAGGCATGGAAATCTCCAAAAATGCTTTCACTTAACCCCTATGCCTGATGCAAATCTGACGATCTATATAAATTACATGTAGCTGCAATAATGCAGCCCTCTCCTTCTTTTCAAAGGGGGGGGGCTCTCCCAAAAATATCTGATTAAAAAATAGTACATTATAGCATTATAGCAGCTTCTATTAAATTAATCGGTATAGACAGAACTTTTAATTCAATTTTTACACCTACAAGAACTAAAAGAACACAACATCCTCTTATTTTTAATTTGGAGGGGATAACCCCTCTCAAGCCAAGGCTCTGTAAACATAATATACAATTCTTTATTTTTTTCCTGAAACAATTTTATTTTTACTTCAACAAAGAAATACATATTTGTATAAAACATCATATATTAATAATCATAATCTAAAGAATTTAAAGTTAAGTTTTAGTATAATATCATTTTTCTAAATAAAACAGAATATTCTTCTTGTGTAAAATCAAAGATATACATTTCTAAGACAGAATGTTTTATCAGATATACATATCTGTACATCACTGAATAATAAAACAAGAGTCATAAGAGATCCATCCGAGCAATTGAACAGAATTTTCTTCTTCTGCCTACTGAATGGGAGGGAGGCGTGACAGAGGTTTAGCTGAGTAACTTCTGTAAGTGTCTAAAAAAAAAAAATCAAGATTAGTTTATACAATGACTCATTTCAACAAGATAGGTTACTGGTAATAGGAATTTGAAGATATTTTTTATTTTTATCATAAAATGGCATTGCTTTTGTATTGGATACAAACAGTTCTTAACATTTATATCAATTTTCTTTCATGGTGTATGATTGTGCCTTTTCCACAACCAGATTATTGCAATTGTATACATTGTTCATTTTAATATCACTATATCTGCAAATTAATGCAGATTCCCAAACATGAGGACCCTAAAATGGAGTAATATTAATATGAGGCATCTTCACTAAGACCTACGCCTGCCTTTATTTTTTCCCCATCTAACTCAGCATAAATTGCATTTTGGCCTTTAAATAAAAATTTTCTGAATTCGAAGTTCATTTGTAATTAAAATTTTAAATCCAGCAGTTAATTTCCCTTTTTACAACTCTTTTCATAAAGGGTAATAAATTTTATTTATTGAAATTGAGGCTTAAAAAAAATCACCAAAATTTCAAATATGCACGAAATGGCATAGATTATCCTTATATCATTCAGTACATTATATATGTAAAATTCAAAGTACAAGACTGAAAAACATTTTTTATTTGTTTAATCAAATGTGTTAATTTGAAGGAAGAAAGGCAGAACAAAACTATCAGTCACACTTCTTTCTACTTGCAGAGATATGATGCTATGCATGCAGTAAATTATCCTAATCAATGTTCAATGATTTCTCCAACGTTTTTAACTGGACATACTGACCAGCATCAGAGACACTGTCCACTGTGTTAGCCTCAGTCTCCACCCAGTTACCAGATGTACTGTTGGTTTTCCCCACCATGGGGCGGGGGACATCCACACCTGTATTACAAGTACAGCACATACAGTTGAGAAAAAGCAAAAAAAAAGAAGTTATGCGTCTAAAAAAAAAAAAGGTATTTTTTGTGGTTGGTGATTCTCATGAAATTAAATTACATTACCTTATAATCCAAACTGAACAAATTTATAAATATTACAATATACTTCTTTATCACATGCACTGTATTGTTATGTGATGACCTGATATGATGGGTCACTATGATAATCTTCATTGTATCACTCTTAAGATGCTTTTTACCTTGCATGTTGGGTCCATATGGCGTAGGAGACTGGGTGACCTGTTGGGATTTGTTAGCCTTGGTTTTGATCAGATAGATAACAATCCCTGTCATAATGATGATCAGAACAAAGGCCCCTACTGCTCCAGATACGATGAACATGGTGTAATTAGCTCCACTGTCTAAACATACATAGAAATAGATTTTTTAAAAAGTGACCTTGTAAGATCAATAGCAGTAGAATAAAAAAATCTTCAAAATGAATATTGTTATCAGAAAGCAAGGAGATTTAAAATCTTTAGGGCATACCAATTTCAGTTCTGAGTTCCGATGTTGACCATGCAAATGAGTTGGTGTCCACAACCAATCGCTGCCCAGTAGTAGAGGTCACGACCAGTGACCCTGATCTGATGGCCTCCCTCAGCTGGAAGATGATTTCTCCCATGGTGGGCTCCGAGTCCAGAGCTCGAGAGAAGACTTCAAACTTGATGGTTATACTGCCAGCTACAACATAAAAAAGATGTTTTACCATTCAAATTATTTGTTGCTGAATTTAATAAATCAAGTTCCACTGTTTAAATGACCTAGTTTTATACACATTTGTCAATAATTGTTTTGCTTAGTGTAGAAAAAGTATGTAACTTTTTTCTACACATCATTCATTATATCAGTTCAGTTTTTTGTATAATTTGAAGACCAGGGAATGAAAATCACTTCCCTGTAGGTGTCAATTCATTATAAGGTTGTTTGCTATAAACTTGTTTTACTGTACGGGTTTGTGAATGGATGGATGAAGAAATGATTAGTAGTCATAAATTAGAAATTTTTACTTTTTAAAGAGGTCAAGAATTGGTGGGTCCCTTCATACCTCTTAAACAAAGAAAATTAAGCCCCCTTAAGAATAAGTGATTATAAAGAAATCTAACTTTAATAGTTTTTGGACAACAACAAATTTCTGTCAATCTTTACCATCATCGTCATCGTTTTTGACTTCTTCCACCTGTAGATTGGTTATCCTGGAGGCTGGGATTTTGAGGTAGGAAGTCAGTATCTGCATGATATGAAGCCTGAAACTGTTCTCCTGTCCTGCCACAATGGTGGCAAAGTTATCATGGAGGGCAAACAAAATGTACACCTTACCAGCGTAGGCGGGGACGCTGACAGAATTTACGGGGGTCGTGGAGTCAGGGACAGGGGGACTCTTAGCTGGAAGTAAATGTGAAGCTTCCCATGAAATAAAAAATCACAATAATTATTACACAAAAATTAAATGCAAAACATACAGTTCTACTTATATTTTAAGCCTGCATTATGCCCATAAATGAAAAAGTTTAACTTTGATATGTGTAAAAAAAATTTTACATTTGAAATTTCATTTATTACAAATATTTTTTAAGAATTTTACAACATTAATTATTGCTGTATGAACTGATGATGTGTTAAATGAAACACTGGAAATCATGATGCTCCTAATGTCCCATACAGAGGGTTACTAAAGAGTCTTAAATGGAAATAAAAATAGAATTCCAAAATTGGATAATGGGAATCCACAATTCTGATGCAAACTTTCAAGATATTGAATGAAAGACTGAAATAGCAGAGCAAGCATCTACAATATACTCTTAAGATACTGGGCCACAAAATCAACTTACTGGTGGTGGTTGACTTCACAGCTTTTGATATGACCACGTCTTGTGTATTCTGATCAATATTTGCCTCGGTGACAAACGTTATAGGTATCTCTACTTTTGGGGTTGTTGTTGTTGTTGTTTTCATTGTTGTCATTTCTGTTGTCACTGTTGTTTCTTCTTGTGTTGTTGTCTCAAGTACAGTTGTTGATTCTATGACAACTGGACCCTCAAACACACTGAAAATATTTGTTTACAAAATACATAATACATATATACATATAATATTTCATACAAAAACAAGAGGCCCATGGGCCACATCGCTCACTTGAGCAATATGGCTTGGAAAAAAGCAGAAATCTGTTTACTATTGAAAAGTTTAATCCCAATAGTGGTCCCAAACAATCCTTAACAGGGAGAAGGTATGATTTGAACAAACTTGAATATTCACTAATTAAGGATGCTTGCATATTTCTTTGACTACCTGTGGCTTTATTGCCCTTTACATATATACAGTTTCATCTTTCCTGGCAAAGTGGTTCCTGAGAAAAGATTTTTAGAGAATTTTCTTATACACATTTCTATGTAAAACTTTGATCGGCCATTGTGGCCCCGCCCTACCCCCAGAGGCCATGATTTGAACAAACTTGAATCTACACTACCTGAGGATGCTTCCTTATAAGTTTCATCTTTCCTGGCAAAGTGGTTCTTGAGAAGAAGATTTTTAAAGAATTTTCCTTTATATTTCTATGTTAAACTTTGATCGGCCATTGTGGCCCCGCCCTATCCCGGGGGTCATGATTGAACAAATTTGAATCTACACTACCTGAGGATGCTTCCCTATAAGTTTCATCTTCCTGGAACAGTGGTTATTGAGAAGAAGATTTTTAAAACATACCATCAAATTTTCATTATTTCTTAATTATCTCCCCTTGAATAAGGGAGTGGCCCTTCATTTGAACAAACTTGAATCCCCTTCACCTAAAGGTACTTTGTGCCAAGTTTGGCTGAAATTGGCCCTGTTGTTTTTGAGAAAAAGTCGAAAATGTGAAAAGTTTACAATAACGACGACGACAGACAACGGACAAATTTTGATCAGAAAAGCTCACTTGAGCCTTCGGCTCAGGTGAGCTAAGAATCTTAATTACTCATTCTTTAAGCAGTTTTTAAACATGTAAATAAACAGACTGTTACATATAAATAAAACACTTTCTAAACAGGAGATGTTTGTAAAACACTTAAAATATATGCCCCCTTCCCCATATAATTGGAATTTTTCTTCTAAGTCCAAGAGGCATAACCCTGTCCTAAATTGCTCCTTTGTACCAAAAAGAGAGCTTGATCTACATATTCAAATGTTAAATCTGTGTAAAAAATTTCATTTCATCGATGAAATCTCTGCAAAGATAATGAATGAAAACTGCAAATAATTGGAATTTTTAAGTCCACGGGGCATAACTCTGTCAAAAATAGCTTGATCATATCCAAAACACAACTTAACCTAGATATTCTTATGATAAATCTGTTTACCAGATTTCAATTCAGCATGTGCAACGGTTGTGAAGAAAATGAACAGAAACTTGGTGGACAGACCGACAGACAGCAGCAAAGCAATATGCCCTCCCTTCTTCGAAGGAAGGCACAAAAAATGTTGTACTTGAGGAAGAACTCTGCAATTGATTTGTAAAACAGACAGGACTTACCCAATAACACCTAGCCTGTTACAAGTACAGTTCACATGGAATCCGTCAGCCATGAATTCTGGCGAGGAACTCACACAATCATCGTTGGTCCAATTGGATCCCAACCACATATTACACTGTAGCATTAATACATGTACATTATCAGTATATACAGTGTATAACATCTTGTTTTAAGTGAGACGAAAGGTATGTTTCCTTTTTCATAAACTGTTTTATCTCATCAACAAACAAGGACAAAGTTGCTTCAAATGATCTTGTGGCATTTCATACAATAGGATAAATCAGTTTCAGTGGAAGAAATTGCATACTGTACAAGTATTACATTTGGCAGTGTATTCTTTTTAGTGCTTTTGGCAAATAAGAAATTTCCGCTAATTCAATGCTAAATGTCTTGCACATGCATAACGAATAGAACATTAAGAAATGCGCTATATCAAATGTACGGTAACTTGTTCAAAAGTCAATTTTGGCAGAATATTGTACATATTAAAACATAATACATTTACACTAATTATCCCTAAGAATCGAATTTCATTTAAGATGTCATTAACATTACCTGGAGGGAGTGGGCACTTTCATTATAATTCCCCATGATAGGGACCTGTACAGTAACAGGAACTGATAAGCCCTCCACCGTCATCAAGTTATGGGTCGTAGGATTAATCATCTGGAGTGAAATGAGGTCACTGCGTCTAACGAAGTCAATCGCAAAACGTTGAGGTGATGTGGCTGTTACCATGTCGACCATCATTTGTGCTGACGTGAAGCATGCTCCGTAACACTGTAAGTCCACGGAGCAGTTCCAGTGGTGATATTCCTCACTGATCTCAGCTCCGTACATCACCTGTGTAGATACACGAAATAAACTGTATTTATAGTTTTTTATACAGTAGATTTATGGAAAACACTGACCCCATTTTATAGTTTTGCCCCTTTATTCTCATCTTCATTGGGCAAATTCAAAGGGGAAATTTAAATAGACAATAATATCTCATTCATCAATACTAAGGCAATACGTGCATGAATTTACCATTGGGCAAATTCATTTGCAGGTGTTTTAAAGTGAACTTAAGCCTGTATACTAGATATACTCTGTATACCAGATGAATATTATACATTTATTGCATGATAGTGAGGGAAATATGAAAACTTATTTAGCAAAGAAAAATCATATTCCCCGAGGGCTTCGCCTGAGGGGAATATGGTATTTCTTGGCTGAATAAGTCTTGCTGTTTCCTGAACATTCATGCAATGAATTGTTTATTATACCGAAACAAGAAAAACCTTAAAAAACATAAAATTTCAAATTCGGCACCGCTCTCAAATTCACTTTCAATTTTAATGTAAAGTCACTAAAACCCTTTGGTCAACACATTATCATCAATTTTGTGATGTAAACCAGGCTATTGTGATGTCTACTTCTGTTGGGAGTTTTCTTTAAATGAACGATAATTATTGCGGAAAATACACTAGGTGTTCCGAATAGGTGGAACATGATGAAAAGCGTGTCAATCAGATAACCTGTTGTGTAGAATATTTATAATGAGGTATAATAAAACAAGAGGACCATGGGCCTTATAGGTCACCTGAGTATTATGCAACAACTTTCCAGTGATTGAATTTGATTCATGTTTTAAGCCAGATGCTATGGCGTTCAAAATTTTGAAAGAGGCGCCATTTATCAGCATAACAATACACTTAGCAGTTGCTTAGTTTTTTTTTACTTAATACCAATAGGCAGAGTAGGGGAACAAAAAATGCATTTCAAGTAATCAGTAATATTCAGCAATAATCAGTAATGCCCCTATCACACATGAACCCCTGACCCTTAAGCCTAGATACACACATTGCACAATTTTTGAAAAGGCACCCTTGCTTTTCAAAAATATTTGATTAATACCAAGGAGCAGATTTCAAAAATTCATCCAGTTTCAGTATATAAGTACACCCCCCTATGGTACCCCTGACCCTAGGGGCTTGAAATTCACAATTCTGGAAGATTAGCGCCCTTGCTCATCATAACTATATAGGTAGTTCATCTGCTTAATACCCAGGAGCAGAGAAGAATACTTTCAAAGATTTAATGTATTTTCACTATATAATCAATAGAACCCCTGACCCTAGGGCCATAAAATCAAAATTTAGGTAGAGGCACTCTTGCTCATCATAACTATGCACTTAGTTAGTTTATTTAGTACGCAGGAACAGAGAAGAAGATTTTCAAAGAATTCATGTATTTTCACTATATAATCAATAGAGCCCCGCCCTAACACCAGAACCCCTGACCCTGGGGCCATAAAATTCACAGTTTGGTAGAGGCACTCTTGCTCATCATAACTATGCACTTAGTTAGTTTATTTAATACCCAGGAGCAGAGAAGAAGATTTTCAAAGAATTCATGCATTTTCACTATATATAATCAATAGAGCCCCGCCCTAACACCTGAACCCCTGACCCTGGGGCCATAAAATTCACAATTTTGGTAAAGGCACTCTTGCTCATCATAACTATGCACTTAGTTAGTTTATTTAATACCCAGGAGCAGAGAAGAAGATTTTCAAAGAATTCATGTATTTTCACTATATAATCTATAGAGCCCCACCCTTACACCAGAACCCCTGACCCTGGGGCCATAAAATTCACAGTTTTGGTAGAGGCACTCTTGCTCATAATAACTATGCACTTAGTTAGTTTATTTAATACACAGGAGCAGAGAAGAAGATTTTAAAAGAATTCATGCATTTTCACTATATACTTATTTAGCCCCACCCTAGCACCAGAACCCCTGACCCTGGGGCCATAAAATTCAAAATTTTGGTAGAGGCACTCTTGATCATCATAACTATGCACTTAGTTAGTTTATTTAATACCCAGGAGCAGAGAAGAAGATTTTCAAAGAATTCATGTATTTTCACTATATAATCTATAGAGCCCCATCCTAACACCAGAACCCCTGACCCTGGGGCCATAAAATTCACAATTTTGGTAGAGGCACTCTTGCTCATCATAACTATGTACTTAGTTGGTTTATTTCATACCAAGTAGCAGAGAAGAAGATTTTAAAAGAAATAATGCATTTTCACTATATACTTATTTAGCCCCACCCTAACACCAGAACCCCTGACTCTGGGGCCATAAAATTCACAATTTTGGTAGAAGCACTCTTGCTCATCATAACTATGCACTTAGTTAGTTTATTTAATACCCAGGAGCAGAGAAGATTTTCAAAGAATTCATGTATTTTCACTATATATAATCAATAGAGCCCCGCCCTAACACCAGAACCCCTGACCCTGGGGCCATAAAATTCACAATTTTGGTAGAGGCACTCTTGCTCATCATAACTATGTACTTAGTTGGTTTATTTAATACCCAGTAGCAGAGAAGAAGATTTTAAAAGAAATAATGCATTTTTACTTTACACTTATTTAGCCCCGCCCTAGCACTAGAACCCTGACCCAGGGGCCATGAATTTCACAATTTTGGTAGAGGACTCAATGCTGATTACAATCATGCAAACAGTTTGACTGCTTGATGTCCAGGAGTAAAGAAGAAGATTTTTAAAGATTGCATTAATTTTAGTGGTTTTTGCCCCACCCCCCAGGCCCCAGGGGGGCAGGGACCATGAAATTCACAATTTTTGTTCCCCTTTACCCATAGATGCTTTTTGCCATGGCTTTGTCATTTGGTTGAAATTGGTTCAGTGGTTGCAGAGAAGAAGATGAAAATGTTCAAATGTTAACGCACGACACACAACACACGACGCACGACGATGGACGAAAACAGATAGCAATAGGTCACCTGAGTTTACTCAGGTGACCTAAAAAACCTGTACCAGATACACAAAGTGATAAATATAAAATCTTGAGATCTAAAAGTTTGTTTCCTAGCTGTTTTTCAATAACTCAGTACTTCTTGAGAAATATTTCTTGTACTTCAAAAATTCAGTGCTAATTTTCTGTGCTCGCGGTCTGACAAGTAGTACTTACGTAAGCGGTCTGGCTGATGGTACAGTTCTCACACGTGACCGTTATCATCTCTGTGGCCAGTGTAGCGGTGGTGGTCTTCTGGACTCTCAGTGTGGTCAGCTCATTATCCACCACAATAGCATCCTCAGCATAAGTTATCCCTGCACACACACCTGACAGTACATGTACGTTGGAAACTATTATTATTGTAAGAGTTTATCAAAATTATAAACATGTTAGATGAATTTATTATATAATCATTATTTTTATAATATAATCATTGATACTGCATGAAGAGCCTCTATTACCAGTAATAATATTCATTTAGTTTCAATCTGTTCAAAAATACATAGTCTGGATTATTGCTTTGATCATATAATTTGTGTACACCTTTTTCACTGCAGTTTCAATTTTGCTAGTTTTTTTTTTATAAATGCATTTTGGAAAATAACAATTCATTTATACAGTGTATATAGCATCTTCAATATGGCTTGTAGTTGAATATGATTTTTATCAAATGAGTGGTAGATTTTTTTTCTCCCTGATCAAGGGAATGAAAAACACATAAATAGATGAAAAACTTCATATCCATTGAACCACAAGTAAAATACAGTATACACAAATACCGGTACATTTTCACTGTTTATAATTATCTAATTCTGGAGAAAATTGTTCAATTAGAGGTTACCAATCTTGATATTGTCCAGAGCTGTTAGATAGTCCTCAGCTTCCTCTGTAGTTATCTGATCCTCACTCTTACCCATGTGTAGCAGAGAGTAACTGGTCAGAATTGTCTCAGCCTATAATAAACCGACACTAGTAAGACAGGAAGTAACTAGTCAGAATTGTCTTAGCCTACGACAAACTGACATTAGTAAGGTCTGCGCTTCAAGATCAACAGCATGTAATTACACTTTCTGACAATGGATGATTAACTGTTACAGATATCAGTGATATTACCTCAGATTCTGACACTGGACGATTAACTGTCACAGATATCAGTGATATTACCTCAGATTCTGACATTGGAGGATTAACTGTCACAGATATCAGTGATATTACCTCAGGTTCTGACATTGGAGGATTAACTGTCAGCGATGTCAGTGATACTACCTCAGATTCTGACACTGGTCTATTAACTGTCACAGATATCAGTGATATTACCTCAGATTCTGACATTGGAGGATTAACTGTCACAGATATCAGTGATATTACCTCAGGTTCTGACATTGGAGGATTAACTGTCACAGACGTCAGTGATATTACCTCAGATTCTGACACTGGTCTATTAACTGTTACAGATATCAGTGATATTACCTCAGATTCTGACATTGGTCTATTAACTGTTATAGATATCAGTGATATTACCTCAGATTCTGACATTGGTCTATTAACTGTCACAGATGTCAGTGATATTACCTCAGATTCTGACATTGGAGGATTAACTGTCACAGATATCAGTGATATTACCTCAGGATCTGACATTGGAGGATTAACTGTCACAGATGTCAGTGATATTACCTCAGATTCTGACATTGGTCTATTAACTAACACTGTTGTCAGTGATATTACCTCAGATTCTGACATTGGTCGATTAACTGTCACTGTTGTCAGTGAATTGGGATCCACAGCTCTCCTTCTTCTTTGTCTACCTGTTCATAATAAAACATACATCACAAGTGAACGATACACATCACCAATTCATCAAAATACAATCCTGCAATTTTGTCCCATTTTGAACATTTTTTTAATTAAGAACATTGATAAGTCATTAAATTATGGCAATCAAAAGCAAGGTTCACTCAATATCTATAGACTAGTTTACCATAAACCTCTATTCACTTAAAAATCAGTAAAAAAAAGGTTTCATAATTTTGTTGTCTAAGAAAAGTTCCTTCTTAAATGTCCAAGTATCAGGGACAACCTTTGTGAAAATTTTCCTGAACTTTATAGAAAAATAGCATATTAATAACAGTTAATTCTCCATAAACCGCCACCTGTTGTAATTTAGAAATCATGGCGGTATAACGAATCTGGCGATGAATTGAATTTCTATCTTTTAGGAAACGTTAAGTAGAGTTACCATTCATAGAAAAACCATTTAGCATTTCTATTCTTTTTATGATATGTACATGTATATAAAAACATTTTTCTAAATTTGAAAAAAACTTCCAAGTAATTTTTTATGTACAATTTCGCTAAAACAAAATGTGCAGTTATGAAATAAAGACAAGTACACGTGTATGTATGTAAATCTATACGACTGATAAAAAAAAAAACCATGCTGGGTCAATCGTCGTGATATATTGTCGATAGTAGGTAAAATGAATTCTTGAATAAATTCATCGGTTATGGCATCATTGTTAATGGAACGTTCACAATTTATAACGTATAATTATTTTTTAAGCAAACATTGCTTAAAGCAGAGATCATCAAAATAATATCGTTATCGGTGTACTTCAACAATGACCGCTTCATGGCAAAGCCATGACTAAATGATTTTTATTAAACAGAAAATAAAATTGTTATAACAATTCATGATAAAATTTTTGTTTATTTAATTCCTATTTAATTATTTAATTAGCATCAACCAATTATCCGCGCTCCACTGACCTCATGCACCTGTGGCGGTATATCGAGATAATTGACACTTAAAAATGGACGTTTGTTGTGAAAACAGGATGGCGGATGGCGGTATGCGAATTTGGCGTTATAAAGAGAATTTTATATAGCCAGAAAAACGTTCTTGGGAAATCATGGCGGTATTGCGAAAAGGGCAATGAATCGAATGGCGATAATTCGAGAATTGACTGTATATACATTCAACAAAAAATTAAATAACAGCAGAGCCTTTAGTCCAAAAAAATAATAATGACAATGTAAGAAAGACAATAAAGCCCTCTGTGAACTTTGAACTTATTTTAACCTACTATTCAGAGACAGAAAAATGCAGATAGTAAAATCCGGCGTTCGTAATTGTCTGTTGTCTGTACAGATGTCAGTCTGATATGTCCGTCTGTCTGTAAACAATTTTTCAAAACGCTACTCCTCCTACAATTTTAGTTTGATTTCAATATTACTTGGCACACAAGTAGACTACACTAAGATACATAGAATAGTGCATCTGTTTTTGATTTCGATGAACGGTGTTGCCATGGTTACTAAAAATAGAATTTTCTGTGAAATTCCTTAAAAACGCTACTCCTTCTAAAGTTTTTGTCTGATTTCAATATAACTTGGCACACAAGTAGACTACACTAAGATACATAGAATAGTGCATCGATTTTTGATTTCGATGAACGGTGTTGCCATGGTTACTAAAAATAGAATTTTCTGTGAAATTCCTTTAAAACGCTACTCCTTCTACAGTTTTAATCTGATTTCAATATAACTTGGCACACAAGTAGACTACACTAAGATACATAGAATAGTGCATCGGTTTTTGATTTCGATGAATGGTGTTGCCATGGTTACTAAAAATAGAATTTTCTGTGAAATTCCTTAAAAACTTTTGTCTGATTTCAGTATAACTTGGTACACAAGTAGACTACACTAAGATACATAGAATAGTGCATCGGTTTTTGATTTCGATGAACGGTGTTGCCATGGTTACTAAAAATAGAATTTTCTGTGAAATTCCTTTAAAACGCTACTCCTTCTACAGTTTTGGTCTGATTTCAATATAACTTTGCACAAAAGTAGACTACACTAAGATACATAGAATAGTGCATCGATTTTTGATTTCGATGAACGGTGTTGCCATGGTTACTAAAAATAGAATTTTCTGTGAAATTCCTTCAAATAAAAATAGAATTTTTTGTGAAATTCCTTAAAAACGCTACTCCTTATACAGTTTTTGTCTGATTTCAGTATAACTTGGTACACAAGTAGAATACACTAAGATACATAAATCTATATATCGGTTTTTGATTTCGATGAACAGTGTTGCCATGGTTACAAAAAATAGAATTTTCTGTGAAATTCCTTCAAAACGCTACTCCTCCTACAATTTTAGTTTGATTTCAATATTACTTGGCACACAAGTAGACTACACTAAGATACATAGAATAGTGCATCACTTTTTGATTTCAGTGAACGGTGTTGCCATGGTTACTAAAAATAGAATTCTCTGTGAAATTCCTTTAAAACACTATATCCTTCTACAGTTTTGGAAATCTGATTTCAAAGAATTGACTGTATATACATTCAACAAAAAATTAAATAAGTTGGCACACAAGTAGACTACACTAAGATACATAGAATAGTGCATCGGTTTTTAATTTCGATGGTTTTTGATAAGTACAAACCAGCAGAGCTACAGTCTCGACAGAGACTTCTGGTTGGACTAACCTATAGCATTGAGCAACAGAGCAGACTGTTTTAAGGTAACTCAAAATTTACACACATATCATCAATGGGATATAGATTTATAGATAACCTACTATCTAAATGAATTACTTTTGGCAAAGTTCTGCTACAAGAAGGAGTTTATTACAAGACATCTCATTTGACAGAAAAAAAACTTTTTTAAAAATAGTTAAGCTGTGACCTAAATTTGGTGACCTTTCTTGACCTGGCTGTGACCTGACAGTAGAGGCTAGCTGATTGGCCTTTAATAACCCCTCCCCTCTCACTTTATTGGTTAGCATGCCTCCTTCAGCCATCGGCTTCAAAATTGTGTTGGCAGTGTCCATAACAGTTACAGCTTCTACCGGGGCAAATCTGAAAGACAGGATCAGTGTCAACCATTGGAATAATGTTCCATCATCATGTGATTTACTATTTGCTATAGTGTGTAATACATGTTATAGTGCTGGCTGGACTGCCATCATCATGTGATTTACTCAATTGCTATAGTATAATGTTATAGTGCTGTCTGGGACTTACTCTGCAGAGGATGAGGACAGGAGATTGTAGGCCACATCATTCATTACTCCACCCAGAGCCTTGGAACCATTCCCATCCCCCATTACTGAGGTCAAGGTCACTGCCATACCTACAGCTTTATCCATATCTACAATGTAAAAATAATTACTGAAGTATGCCTAACTTTGCTTCAATAAACCCAGTATCACTGCATTTTTAAAAGTGTCTGAGTCACCAGAAAACAATATTTTTCATTCACAGACAAAAAGTTTCATATTAAAATTACAACACTGGAGAAAGTTTGAAACATCAGCAAAGAAAGTTGGTTCTCAAAAAAATAAAATCTCTATTTTTTAACACATCAGGTTTAAAATTTTCTGAGAACAGTTTATTTAATTTTTGATTCTTACAATGTTTTCCTCGAAAGAAATGTCTACCATATTTGAATGTATAGCTGATAATACCTGTCTTCAGTAGCTGTGTGACATCACTGACAATCTCATCATACCTGTCTTCAGTAGCTGTGTGACATCATACCTGTCTTCAGTAGTTGTGTGACATCATACATGTCTTCAGTAGCTGTGTGACATCATACCTGTCTGCAGTAGCTGTGTGACATCATACCTGTCTTCAGTAGCTGTGTGACATCATACCTGTCTTCAGTAGCTGTGTGACATCATACCTGTCTGCAGTAGCTGTGTGACATCATTCCTGTCTTCAGTAGCTGTGTGACATCATACCTGTCTTCAGTAGCTGTGTGACATCATACCTGTCTTCAGTAGCTGTGTGACATCATACCTGTCTTCAGTAGCTGTGTGACATCACTGACAGTTGTGTTTATCTCTGCCTCTGACATCTCTTTCTCGCTGACTTGAATGGTACTGGGTACTGTGTAGATAACACAGGCCTGCTGTAGGTCACAGGCCTCAATGTGGACCAGGAACTCTCCTGTAAAGTAACCATTTAAAGTACAGTGCCAAACACTTACTTAAATTACTGAAAATGAGAAATTTTTCACAAACAAATTAAATCATATCATATCACATCAAATAAATTTCTGAATGATTTGTTACATTTAGTTCTTACACAGAAAATTAATTGTCACTTTAATGATTAAAAAATAATAGAATGCTTTTGTTTCATCCAAATCAGTATAATGTTGAAATCAGTTATATCGAACACCGATACTTTGGATACCATGAAAATGTTTAAGTAAGTTGGTTTTACCCTGGTTATGAAGAATATTTGGATACCTTCAAGAATTTTAGTTTAATCTTGGTCCCATTAATTTCGAGTTTACAAGATCTGAATGTAAATATACTTGGGCACTTTCTCTACTTTACCTTTGCCCAACATTAGATCATAGGAGACCACATCAGTCACAGACCGAGCATTCATTCTGCAGATTTTCTTCTCTCCCACCTTTTGTGTGTGTACATAGAACATCACCTTGTCCCCCTCAGGGTCTATCCAACCCTCCCCAAACATCACCTCAAACTTGGTGGACAACGCTGTGCCATTCAGTGGGGATATCTGTAAATTTAATGAATTCTTAAAAAATAAACTTTTGAAAAAAAAAACTTTCCATATTGCAATTATTTTTAAAAAACAAAAAGGTTATTTCCAAATTTTTTAGAAAGCGAAAAGAGAGGAACACAATGACTTCACTCACAAAATATGACCTTACCTTGACCTCTCCTATCATTGGAGGAGAGTTTACAGTGACCTTGACCCTTTCTGTTCTACTGAGCATGCTCTCCCCAGCAATGGCCGTGACCTCTAGAGAGAACATTCCACCAGAGGGCAGGCCTTTATCCAAATAGAGCGAGAAAACATAATTTCTGAGGGGTTCTTTCATTTCCTGCACAAGCCTGCTGGGGTTGGACGTATGATTCTCCAGTGACACATAGTCATATCCTGTAATAAAAAATGACTGTAAACTAATCATCTATCTGTTCTGTAGATATTTCTTCTCAATGAAAACTTACTGGGGTAACAAGAATAAAGACTTGGCAAAATTTAACACAAAAATAATACAAATAGTCGAACAACCTATTTAATAAAGGCACAATGAAAAAAAAAATTTAACAACCATCAAACTGACTCTATGTTAAACCCCTACAAACATTTCTTTAAATCCAATCAAATGATATTACCCTCTACATGTCCACACTCCCAGAATACTTTGACAGGTTTTTTGTTGTACGTGGAGATAACACTACTGAGCCTAATGGCCTCCCCCGAGTTAACAGTGAGATCGGTGGTGTCCATGACGATGAGTGGTGCTCGGTTGTCTACTATCTCCAAAACAACGGACTTAGAACGCGATCTCTTGCCTTTCATCATTGTAACATTCCAGATGTACCTGTGTGTAAGAAAAACCCCAACAGGTTAGGTCTTCAATATAAACAAGGAACCGCAATGATAAGTACTAAATCTTTCAATCTTTCTTCTGGGATATCTTTCACATGTTTCAATCAAGGATTTCAATAGTAAACCAAGAAAGTTCAAGCATTCCATAAAATGAATATAATAACATTCCAGTTGGACAGTTGGAAAGGGGGTGAGAATATTGTTGAGGATGAGGCAGAGTTTCACACTATTGTTGAGGGTGGGTAGGGGGTGTTACATTGTTCAGGTAGAGGAGATGACATATTGTTGAAGTCTGGGTGGGGGTGGGTCAGGCCTTACATTACCTGCCAGTGGGCAGGGTGTCGGGAGGGACGGTCATTTTGAGGGGGTCTCTGGGGAGCTGGGTGGGGTGGGTCAGGCCTTACATTACCTGCTGGTAGGTAGCGTGTCGGGAGGGATGGTCAGAGAGGGGGTCTCTGGGGAGCTGGGTGGGGGTGGGTCAGGCCTTACATTACCTGCCAGTGGGCAGCGTGTCGGGAGGGACGGTCAGTGAGGGGGTCTCTGGGGAGCTGGGTGGGGTGGGTCAGGCCTTACATTACCTGCCAGTGGGCAGCGTGTCGGGAGGGATGGTCAGTGAGGGGGTCTCTGGAGAGCTGGGTCTGACCAGGGACTCCAACATCACCTCAGATTTGTCTCTCTTAATGTAATAAGGTGCTCCTGGGATGGACTCCTACAAAACAGCCCAACAGCAAAACTTAACAGAAAGTTGAAACAAGCTGCCTTACAAAGTATTAACTGGTCTAAATTAAATGATTTGAAGTTATGAGGATCGACTTTGTAGACTGACTTTCGTGCAGGCCCAATAGAACCTGGGTTTGTCTGGTATATTGTCGGGGTCTGAGGACCGGGAGGCATCCAGGGTGATGGGTGCTGTGGGGAGGGACTGTATGTACGGGGGGATCCTGACCTCCAGGGGCTGACTCAGGGTGCTGAAGGTCACAGAAGCCTCCGCTGACACTGACTCGTCATTCTGTTTAAACACTGAAAGGATAAATTTAGTTATCAGCACTTGACACCATTTTGAATACACACCCCCCCCCTTAAAAAGAAGTAACGTGGATATTTACAATTATGTTCTATTTTTAATTTTCTGTACCTGTGACAGTGATGGTGTAGCTAGACCCTCCCCTGAGAGATCCACTCCTGATGACAGCAAAAGGCAGCTCCATCACCGAGGCTATCACCACATCAGCACTGCTGCTGGTCCACTTATACAGGAATCTGGTCTACAAATAAATATATTACAGAGGTCTGAGGAAAACATATTGATTCATAAAATGCTGAAAAAGTATGTGTTGATTGATACTTGTTCATTGAATATTTGGAAGATATGAATCAATGTGGTTTTCTTCTTCCTATTAAAACAATGAACAAGAGGCCCATGGGCCTTATAGGTCACCTGAGCATTATGCAACAACTTTCCAGTGATTGAATTTGATTCATGTTTTAAGCCAGATGCTATGGCATTCACAATTTTGAAAGAGGCACCATTAATCATCATAACAATACACTTAGCAGTTGCTTAGTTTGTTTACTTAATACCCATATGCAGGGTAAGGGAACAAAAAATGCATTTCATCTAATCAGTAATATTTAGCAATAATCAGTTGTGCCCCTACCACACATGAACCCCTGACCCTTAGGCCTTGATATTTGATTAATACCAAGGAGCAGATTTCAAACCATTCATTCATTTTCAGTATATAAGTACAGCCCCCCCCCCCTATGGGTACCCCTGACCCGGGGGCCGTGAAATTCACAATTCTGGGGGAGATGGGCCCGTGTCCAGTATAAATATATAGTTAGTTCATCTGCTTAATACCCTGGTGCAGAGAAGAAAATTTTCAAAGTATTCATTTATTTTCGCTATATAATCAATAGAGCCCCGCCTTAACACTAGAACCCCTGACCCTGGGGCTATAAAATTCACAATTTTGGAAGAGGCATTCTTGCTCATTATAACTATGTACTTTGTTAGTTTATTTAATTCCTAGGAGCAGAGAAGAAGATTTTCAAAGAATTCGTGTATTTTCACTGTATAAATTCAATACGTCCCACCCTAACACCAGAATCCCTGACCCTGGGGCCATAAAATTCACAATTTTGGTAAAGGCACTCTTGCTCATCATATCTATGCACTTAGTTGGTTTATTTAATACCTAGGAGCAGAGAAGATTTTCAAAGAATTCATGTATTTTCACTATATAATAAATAGAGCCCCGCCCTAACACCAGAACCCCTGACCCTGGGGCCATAAAATTCACAATTTTGGTAGAGGCACTCTTGCTCATCATAACTATGCACTTAGTTAGTTTATTTAATACCCAGGAAGAGAAGAAGATTTCAAAGAATTCATGTATTTTCACTATATAATCTAGAGCCCCACCCTAACACCAGAACCCCTGACCCTCGGGCCATAAAATTCACAATTTTGGAAGAGGCACTCTTGCTCATCATAACTATGTGCTTATTTTTATTTAATACCCTGGAGCAGAGAAGAAGATTTTCAAAGAAATAATGCATTTTCACTACCTACTTATTTAGCCCCTCCTAGCACTGACACCCCAGGGCCATGCTCACAATTTTGGTAGAGGCTCATTGCTGTTACAATCATGCAAACAGTTTGACTGCTTGATGTCCAGGAGTAAAGAAGAAGATTTTTAAAGATTGCAAATTTTAGTGGTTTTGGCCCCACCCCTCAGGCCCCAGGGGGGCAGGGATCATGAAATTCACAATTTTTGTTCCCCTGCCCAAAGATGCTTTAGGCCAAATTTGGTTGAAATTGGTTCATTTGAGAAGAAGCTGAAAATGTTCAAATGTGCACAATGCACGACGACGGATGAAAACAGATAGCAATAGGTCACCTGAGTTTACTCAGGTGACCTAAAAATAGATCTCCTTTGAATATAAATGATTTCACAGTAGATGGTATATGATCCTCATTGCTAATAAGAACTACAATATTTGAATTAAACTAAGTGTTAAAATAAAGGAGAAATCAATTATGCATCCCATACCTAGGGTGTAAACAACGAATTCAGAATTCTATGAAAAAGCATCCTAGCATACAATATTCAAGCATATTACCTCCACCATATTGATTCCACTACAAGCAGAGGGAGTTACCATGGCAGCCATTTTTAAAGGTTTCTGAGGATCAGGGTGTTTCCTTGACAACACCTGAAGCTGGACACTGATTGGTTTAACACCTTGTGATCTGGTCACATGGGCAGACACTGATGTAAAGGTCAAGTCTAACATGTTTGAAACTACAGCTGTGAAAACATAGGTGGATCCAGGCACAATCTGCAAAAATCATAAAAATATTGATTAGAATTAGAAAATTACATGAAATCAATGTCTTCAGGGAGACTACACATTTAAGACTCTTCACAGCTGGAAGTAACACCTTCCAACATGTCCAAGAGAAATTATGTTCTAAAATCAGTGAGGTTTCCTGCAGATGAATTTTTGCACCTTTCAGAATGAGTGCCTGTACAATATTGATTACACAAAAAAGGAAAGGAAAACAAACAAGAAAAAAAGAGAGAAAATTTTAGCACTCAACAATATTTTTCTCCTCTAGTAAGGTCTTGTTTCTTAGTACTGACTGAAGTTATGGCAGTTAAATGAAGCCTTTCTTTTATTCCCGCCCATTTTTTACCTCAGACCCTTGTCCACTAAATCTCCATTGAGAGGCTGGCATATCATCCAGTCTTCTTTGTAGATCATTGATATCAGATAAAACCAATGCTGAAGGGTTGCCTTCAAAAACATTATATTTCACTTTTTTAACATCTTAAAGCCTTCCAAGCCAAACAATATTCCAAACATGATCTTGTAAAAAAAGAAAATAGTGTATTTATCTTAGCTAAATGTGCCTGCCCAGTTTTAACTGTAAAATCTCAAAACATAGCACGGAAGTTAAACTTATGCAACAGAAATAAAACTAAGATTACTTCTCCATCATTTTAATCTTCTTTGTTAATCATCAGTAAACAAGTTAAATCCTGCAAGCTTTCTGGCTATAGTATAATCATACAATTCCTTACTATCATTAGATGTAACCGTCCAATTGAACGCAATGTCCACACAGCCTAAACTGCCTGACTTTCTTAGAAAGAGTTCAAAGGGGTCACAGCTGCCAATCACCCCTCCTCCAATAAGATCTGCACTGATCTGCATCTGTAAAGTGAAAGTAGAATGTGAAAATAATGCACTTAGTTCTGGTCCATAACATTAAAAAAAAGTAGGTTACCTGTTAGCTTGATGAACTAAATTGATGAAGATTACCTGTTACTTTAGTTATCTTAATTCAAGAACTGTGGAAAAATTTTAATTAGAGGGGGGTAAATGCTTGTTAGTAAGGAAAATTGGTGATGTAAATTCATGGGTAATTTGTATATTTAGGTGATTCAATGAAAAAATATAGTAATTAGTGACAAATTTATTGTTCGTGGGGATGTAAATTAACCGATATGGATGACCCATGAAGTCCAAAAACAATGACGACGCATGACTAATGAGGATTCTACAGTAGATTACCTGTTTTTTTGGTGCCTTCACCAGGATACTTCCTGATGCGAAGGCGGGGAACTTTTCTCCTGAGAACATTTTGAGGATGGTTGAGTTGGATATCAGCAGGTGCTCTCCAGGCCTCAGAGAAAACTCCCCTCTCTTCAGTAGAATGATAAGTCTGTTACCCATAAAGTAACACTCCGCATCTGAAACAGACAAGTTCTTTAAATTAATTTAGCAATAAATATAAAACTTAATTTGGAAATGTAAATTTACAATTTCACTTGTCAAAGTTGCCATTTCTTCTTTTGAAACAGAAAAATCAACTTTGCAGTATCTGCAAGAAACCCTAGAACAGTTTATTGTATATGAAAGATGGATGTAAATGGTTGACCTGTTTCTAAGACCATCATTCTTGAATGAGTTCTTTATATCCCTAAATTTAAAGATTTTAATAAACAGTCAGTGTCTGTATATTCTTTTTTTTTTTAAATTGTAGGTTTTACTTTCCAGGAGCCTGGTCTAAGATCCCCTTCTTTACTAATCTGACCACTCACTTTCTCCAAGTTTTTGAAAACTTGTTTCCTCAAATAAATCAGTGCAGTTGTTGGGTCCCTCCACGGAGACATCAAACAGGACTGTCACTGAGCAGTACATCTTATCAAACCTGGCAGACACCAGCCTCGGGGCAGGGGCTTTCACAAAGAGCTTCACATATTTCAATCTTAAAAATACAAACTGAAACATTTACTTTCAAGAATTGTTATTTGTGATGATTCAGTATAGTTATTAAAATCAATGGTCATTCCAGATCATTTTGATACAAAACTTTCAAGTTCTTCATTAGTTTCTTCTAAATATACCGGTAAATATTTCTGAACATTATTTAAATCAATAATAATCAAGAATGTGAATAGAGTTCAAGTTTGTTATCTTGATAATCAATAACTCAAATGCTATGAATATGTCAAATTGTCATTAATGTATGTTAACTTTAATATCTGAAATCCTAGGGATATCTCATTCAACCTGTTTTCTTGGTCCTTTCCAGTTTAATACAAGGGAATTAGACTGTATACTACTATACCTTCATCTTGTTAGTTCATAAAACATGTTTCACTAACCCTGGAACTGAATATTCCGTAATTGGCTCCAATAGCACTGTAAGGTCATAGGGCATAGGTCTGGTGACCTTTGACATTTTCTTCAGGTCACACTCACATGTTGATTCATCCAATCGTTTTGCTGGAAAGATCATAAAGCCAGACGGTTCAGGATCTGTTGTGAAGCAGCCTATGCCCCTCTCGGTATAGGGACATTTGATGGCACATTTGACGTAGCCGGACTTGAAGAATCGGATTCCCTTCACAGTTACCTACAAGACAGCAGTATTATTAGTTTAATTAATATCTTGTCAAATAATATACAGAAGAATATACTGTATACAGGGAAATTTTCGCCCCCGTGTTATTTTCGCCCCTTTTGCCCCACCCTCATTTGGGCGAATTTAAAACAGGGCGAAATGAAATAATACAGTATACTTTTTTTATTAAAACTATGAAAGGGTGAATTTAAAAGGGGGCAAAAATGTTTGCAAGTGTGAAAGAGTGAAAATTAAACGGGGCGAAAATAACCCTGTATGTATACAGTAACCTTACAGCATGATGTATTTTTCTATAAGAGATTAATTTATCACCCTGGAGCCTACATATAAGCCAAGGGGTCATCAATTTAAAATATTGATAAAGGCTTCATTGGTGCTTATTATCATCTTGCATTTTACTGGTCTCTTTGATATACCATATTTATACATGTTTTATAAAATGTACTGTCAATATATGATTAAATAAAACACAGATTTCCACAGATTTTCCTTATGGCTCAGAGAAATGTTTTAAAAAATCTAAATCTGTTTACGTGTATTTAACTTCCTTTCCCTTACTTTCTTTTGTATAAGTCAAGAATATTCTGACCTTGACCAATATTTTGACCTTTAACCTGGCTCCTTTGACCTGACCTTACCTTTGTACCCTCTTGCACTTTGATTTGTTGTGGAAAAACTCTCCTGACATTGGCGGGCCCAAATATAACTATTTGGGTTGTCTTTGGTGATTGGATGGTGTCTATGCCTTCATCGTGTGTGTAACAGCCTATGGAGTAAACCCCGCTATCATACACTGTCAGTAGACGGGTCTGGGCCACTATCACTCCTGTATTGTTGTCATATGATAAAACAGACATCGGTATATCCTGAAAAGCAAAGCCAAACATGATTACATTACGCTAAAATTAATATGGTAAATCTTGATAATTTTATGATGTGTAAATTTTGATGGAAAGGTACCTGTTTATGTACATATTATAGATCTTATAGAGATCTTGTAGAATGTTACAAACCTTATGTAGAGTACATGGATGGATCTATGTATAGTGCATTTTTAAAAGACGGTATATGGTAAAGATCTTATGGAGTATAATATTGTAGGGGTTGAATATGGTATTTATCTATGTCAAGTACATTTTGTGGGAGTGGTATTGGATGTAGACCATATGTATTCGTTTTGAGGGAGTAATATATAGAAGAGACGTGTTCATTTTTTGACTGGTATAAGAACAATTGAGATGTACATAAGTTTAAATGTTAGAGCTGCTTTCAGAAAATGTTACTTTCACTACTTGCTAGACATTCTCATGTTCGTTTTCTTCTAAATTCTGTTCTTACTTATAAAACCTATAAAATGGTTATAACACAACCTTTATAACTACATTATATCATCTTTGTTTTACAATCATACCATTCACAAAGCATTTTCTCCATTACTGTAAATTCCTTATTTTTCGTGAGTACTTATTATTGCAGAATAGCTCTTTAACGTCAAATCGCAGGAATAATTTTGCCCAAATGAAAGAAAAAGTGAGCTAGCTCACATACCCCACGCTCCCCAAAAACTTGACTGTGAAACACATAATGAAAGGCACAGCTAGTGCACTTTAAATACATAGTATAGATCAAAAACGGCAATAATTGCAAAAAAATCTTCACATCAAAATGTCTTGCATATGAAGACATTTAAATGTGGAATGAAGTTTCTAGATAAATAATGGAATCAAAATTTCTTGGCATTATACAAATCCAAACATTAATTTGAAGTGGTTGGGGGGGAGGGGGGGTGAGAAATTTTCTTGAATAATAGGCAAAACTCTTTGGGATAAAATAATGGAATATGTCCTAAATATCTGCATAGGTTGACGAAACTATGTACAACAGTTTAAGAGGAGTAGTGCTGACAAACTGTTCATCTGTATATTCAAAATATGGCCAAAAAGTCTAAGTTGGAAAGTGTGGAAATTCCCGGAAAAATAAAGGAATCGGAATTTCCTGGTAATATGCACATCTACATATTGTGTCCTAAATATCTGCAAAGTTTAACGAAATTCTGTGCAGCGGTTTATGAGGAGTTGCGCTGACAAACTGTTCATCTCTATATAAAAGGTATGGCCAAAAACCTAAGTTTTTAGTGCGGGAAGTATCGGAAAAAATAATGGAATCGGAATTTCCTGGTAATATGCACATCTACATATTGTGTCCTAAATATCTGCAAAGTTTAACGAAATTCTGTGCAGCAGTTTATGAGGAGTTGCGCTGACAAACTGTTCATCTCTATATTCAAGGTATGGCCAAAAACCTAAGTATTTAGTGCAGAAAGTCCCGGAAAAAATAATGGAATCGGAATTTCCTGGTAATATGCACATCTACATATTGTGTCCTAAATATCTGCAAAGTTTGACGAAATTCTGTGCAGCGGTTTATGAAGAGTTGCGCTGACAAACTGTTCATCTCTATATAAAAGGTATGGCCAAATGCCTAAGTTAAAAAGTGTGGAAAGTCCCGGAAAAAATAATTGAATCGGAATTTCTTGGGAATATGCACATCTACACATTGTGTCCTAAATACCTGCAAAGTTTGACGAAATTCTGTGCAGCAGTTTATGAGGAGTTGCGCTGACAAACTGTTCATCTTTATATTCAAGGTATGGCCAAATGCCTAAGTTAAAAAATGCGGAAATTCCCGGAAAAAATAATGGAATCGGAATTTCCTGGTAATATACACATCTACACAATGTGTCCTAAATACCTGCAAAGTTTGACGAAATTCTGTGCAGCGGTTTATGAGGAGTTGCGCTGACAAAAAAAAGAGGACTGACTGACTGACTGACGGACTGACTGACGGACGGGTCAAAAACATTATACCTCCCGCAACTAGTTGCGTGGGGTATAATGAATGTTTGATCATGAAAATTTACACGGAATTAAGCACCATATAAATAAAGGTGAGTAATTTAATTTTGCGTTTAATGGTTCTCGCAAAATTCCTCGATAGTAAATTCCTTGCTAATAATCAGGAATCTACAGTAATCATGCCTCTCTTTCAGACTCTCATTTAACCCACCAGATTCCAGTATGATCTCTTGTACAGGCCACACTCCTTGATAATCAGAGCCGAGGGTCGGTCCTCCTTCTCCTCCTGAGCCATGGTGTACGCGGTCATCTCTAATGCCTTCTGTCCACTGGCTCCAAAGCTTGTCTGATTGATATGTCCCATCCCCACATAACATTCTACAAACAAAAATGACAATACAGATCATTGAGTTCAATGGTGTGTAATGTTAGTACTAGTGTAATGGTTCAGAGGGGGGGTTGGTTAGTAATTTCCTTAAAATACAGGTATCCTTTAAATCCTAAATTTAATGTCAGAACAATAAGCCCTCTACTGACAAATTGAAAGAGGAGCTAAAGAAAAACTATATTTTAAGAGCATTTTAAATTTCCTTAGGATGTATTCATCTAATCCTCTTTACTCTCTTCAGTATCTTTTTCTTGCCAAAAGGATGTCAAGTTGCTAGCTTTAAAATGTGTGATGCCTTTAAAGACAAATATATACATTTGTGGTATCTCTCCATTATATAAACATACAGAGAGAAAATATCTTCAATTCTGTATGAAGTTTGTCAGAGGTCAGAGGTCAATACGTGACCTAATCACACGGCGCAATAATATCTACCGGTACATAAATTATAAAATGACCCACTCTACTTGCTTTTCATGTATAAAAAAATGAATTAAATAAGCAAGTAAAATGAGAATTATTTTATTTTAAATGTAAACAAGTATTTCATACAGTTTTTGGGCTATCGATTCAACCCGTGTACATAGAAAAAACAAGGAGCCTAGCGTTTGTTTACATTTTTCTTCACTTTTCGTCTTTTGTCAGCTGCAGTCTTTAACGTTTATCCTTATATTTTGGATAGACCTTTGGTTAAATTTTCATGATAAACTTTTATTTTATCTTTAAATTTTACTCACGATAAATGTGTAAATCTGTTGGAAAATATCTTTGCAATCATGCCATGAACAGCTGCCAAACACATCGGCGTTTTCGTAGTTCAATGTAAAGCTGTCGCCAGTGTCTCCGTGTTTATCAGTGTTTTACGATAAGTATGCCTTTAGTTACTGAAACCGTGGAATAGTTTTGATCAAATTGCAAATTAACTGGCTCGGACAAGTGTCTCAGTCCATCGGATCCATCCATCCCTTTCCAGCGACCGAAATTCCTCCAACTTTTTATCATCAAACTTCGGACGTGTTTCTTGTGTCTTTTCAGCATCGATTATCATTTTTCACGAATAAAATATTCCCAGACAACAATCTCATGAATCTGTTCACTATTACTGATCACAAGTAGCTTTTCACAAAATATTCCCTTCGAAATAGATTCCTTAGCCTAATGAATTCGAAGCGTAACCGCCATGCAAGCCGATTTACACCTTGCGTCATTTTTCAAAATCTACGACGGACGGTTAGTACAATAATTTAAATTCGAAAATATTCAATTGTCTGTCTCAAATGTATATATAAGTAATAAATAACAAGTTTATAAACTTCAATGGGAATTGAAGTACGTGATCAAATCTTCTGAGAAGGCCTTCGGCCTTCACAGGATTTGATCACGTGACCGACCCACTTCAATTCCCATTGAAGTTTATATAAACTTGTTATTTATTTCTTAAGTATTACCTTTGTTGTAGTCGGAGCTGTTCCTCAGCAGACAGACGTCACAAAAGTCCATCACGGACTCCCCAAAGGGGACCCCAGCACAGTCCACACACTCATCCTCTCCGTCACACACCCCACATTGATCCTCCCCATGGTTTTCTGCCAGTGTTGTATTGCCTAGTACACAGTGACCACACCTGCAAAACAAAAAGTGAATTCAAATACAGGTAAACTTCGGTATCTCGACATCGGATATGTCGACAACCTGGGATATGTCGACGTCCGTCCGCGGTCCCGGTATTATTTACTATATAAATGATTTCCAAAAACTCGGATATGTCAACCTCGGAAATGTCGACTACCCCGCTTATCTCGACGTATTTCACAGTCCCAAGAGAAAAATTTACCTGGTATAAGTCGACATTGGGGCAATTTTCTGCTCTACTTAACCTAATTATTTGTCAGCTGGTCGCTCGTCATGCACGGACGACTCCGTGTATCTCGACGTCCTCAGAAATTCACATCTTTAACATCCATGTTTTGACTACATACTGCTCTGTAGAAATGTGTTTGTAGAGGAATCCCAAGCCCCCGTTGGCGTCTCTAATACGTTAATTGTTTAATGTTCAGCTTGGGTAATTTCATTGTTAAATCTTTTCTATTTTGCGTAAATGTAAAACCGTTTATTTATGTTGAAATCTGACAAACTTAAAACATTTTATGAAAAGAAAAGTAACTGAATAACAATGAACAATATACACATTGAATTCAAATAAACTTAAAAATTGTTGTAAAAATGCATTCACTAGGAACCAATCAAATCTACGACATGCACGACTATTGCATCAGCGGTAATATGGATGCATATGTAACATCATTAAGTTTGTTAATTGCGCTATTCCAATTAAATTTTGGTTTGAAAATGAAATGAAAATTAATGATGAATGATTATGAAATAAAAAAGAAGTGAAATGAAATAATTTTAAAAAAATATACGCATTATTTTTTTCCGTATCTCGGAAGTCGACTTTGTACCGTTCCGGTTTGGAGTTTATAGAGCGCATTTCGTATCCTGTTCTGACAGAGCTAGTGGCACGCTTATAACATATGTGAATAATTACTTAGATTTTCTAATAAAAATAGAAGGATAGCCGAAACAAACCAGCTGCAATCTAATTGAAGACACGTAGGTACCTGTAGTTACATGTCTGTTCAGTTTAGGTCTATGGTTTTACTATGTAGTAAAATGAAGGACGTCCAGTTTCAACTCTGATATCTTGACACCTCGGATATCTTGACATTTTCCGACTGTCCCGTCGATGTCGAGATAACAAAGTTTACCTGTAATTGTCTCTCTATCTGTAATATCAGTAACAGCATCTACATCAATAACTTCTCTGAGGGGGTTAAGTGGGTCTTAAATGTAAACATCTAAGCTACATGTATTTGTAAATCCAACAAGGGAGGGAAGAGGTCAGAACAAAACCTCCATTTCATGTGCAGATGTATTTTCTTTTCTATCTGTTCTCATAATGGATATTCAGAAATGCATATCATTTGCTACCGTAAATCTGGAAATTTTTACTGTACATAAATTTTTAGCAAATTTGCGCATGCAATGCATTCGCAAAAATATTTTTCTTAAAAATAAATCAACATGTAAAGATTTTTTTCTGAAAGCTGGTGTCTATTTTTAACTCAGTGAATTGGTAAGCACTGGTCATTTTTAAAAAGAAACCTGTTTATACTACTGTAACTACAAGCTAATTACTCGTGCGCGTTAATTGCCCTCATTATATGCAATATCGTCTGATGGTTTGACAAGCACTGAGATGGTGTGTCCCTTTTTAATTATTTTGCCAAGAAAGAGAGACCAGTTATTTTATCCAACCATGTATCAACAAGGGCGATAACTCGAGCTCAGTGCTCGAGAGAGAGTTCCATATGTAGGCCTAAACACAGCGTGTAAATTTTTTCGGTGAGAAAAAAAACAAACGTTGAGAAAATTAGTAATATTTTTGTCTTTATTTGGATTATATTTTAGGTTAAAAGGCATACAAAACCTATAAAAGGTTTGTTAAAATAAATTTAAAAGTTATTTTCAGTGCAAATCCTTTTGTATTTTTATCTTCAAAATTGTATCGGAGCGATTCTGCAATTTCTTGCCACATTGCGAGTATATTGGTGGTATTCTAACTGTGCATACTAAATTGAAACATAAACTAATATGAAAATCTTAAGTGATTTTTATTTTTAGTGCCAGTGACAATTCGCAAAATTTTGAAGCATAAAAATTAATCAATAGCTTTTTGACCCAAATTCGCAAAAATAAATCGACGTAAAAATTTCCAGATTTACGGTATATTCTAATATGGATTATAAGCTGTCAATGAATGTCTAACAAACAAATGGTTCACATACTATATTTAAAACATTCCATCTTCCTACTCTTTAAAAGTGTACTTAAAGTGATCACCACTAACTTGTTAATGTAGGCATCACTGTTGATCCTTCCATCACATTCCTGAAACAATGTCATCAGTTTCTGAATGTCCACATTATTCCTAGAAAACAAACATCAATAGACTCACAACTTAGACATTGATCATGTAAACAGAAATCCATTGGAAGCATTGACAATGTTGACTTACGGTAGACACATGTTGAGGGTGTCGTCATAGTAGTTCAGACCACACTGCCCCCTACAGTCCAATCTGTGGTCCCGGGTCAGCCCCGTGTCCCCCTCTGTACAGTCCCCACAGGCATCAATCACAGCACCTGTCAGCAAATCAAAACTTAAACCTTAAGAAAGAAAACTAGAGTCTACTTTAATTACAGATTCTTTAAAAAAATTATATATTTTGAGTAACTTGTAGTCTGACTTTAACAGAGAGATGAGACAGAAAATTATGTATTATTTTTATTAGTCTAGAAATATACATCTCTGAATTAAACTGGTATAATGCTACTGTAAGGTCACTAATTTTCAGGGGGTTTACTTTTCCTTGATTTTGAGGTATGGAGAGATTCATGACTTCATGACCACCACTACAACTCAACATTTCTCCATCCATGAAAACCAATACTTTTTCTCAAACCTCAAAAATTCGACCCAATTAAATATGTGATTTTACAGTATTTTAAAAAGTGAGCACATTAAATTTTTCAGAATTAACAGGGCCAATTAAAATTCCTTGGTCTAACCTGACAACATACATGTACATGTATTCCTGTACTCAAGATCAGGTTGAACATTTAAGAGAATATATTCACCTGTTGAAAATGTTGATTATATGTATACCTCCATTGAGTTTTCCATTGCAGTCTACACAGTCATCGTATCCCCCACACACCCCACACAGATCCTCCCCTAGTTGTGACCCTGGCTGTCCGTCACAGCCCGCCTTGTTCATAAAGAGAGGGATGATCTCTGATGAGTAGGCACTGTGACCCCCTTCTCCACACATCTAATGGTGCGTAATATTATAATGAGTCATATATCACACAAAGTACATAATGATAGAAATTATTTATTATATACCTAATGTATATCACTCAATTTTACTGTTGATTTTACGTTATCATGTGACGTCGTGATCCGACTTTCCGGATCACCACACTGTGGTTTTGTGAATCCATATCACCACTCTCTGACACTGGTGACGTAGTACGCAGAAACATGATGTTATTTTTCTTGCGCGTTAAAAAGTCCCTTGTTATTATGCTTTGTTTTTTGGATAAATGTTATACAATTGATCTCTAAAGTTTTCTCTTGCTATATTTTGCTAGTTATGAGGGGGTATATAATAAATTTGTCATTATAACGGTAACTTGATCCTAAGAGCCGTATCACGTCTCGTTGACAGGCGCGGATCATCAGATCAAATACGACCCTTTGGATCAAGTTACTGTTATAATAATATATATATATCTACAAGTACCATCTACCAGTATTGTTATTTAATGTTTTAAGTCATATATTACAAGTCCACTAGTAATGTTATATTTCTCACATCTGAAAGTACATATTTAAAATCTACCAGTACATAATGTTATGACATACATCACAAATCTACCAGTATATAATGTTAATCATCATATGTATATTTATTTGCAATTAATGAGGTGGCATTCACTGGTGAGACACCTGTGAAAAGCTGCCTGTCACTTTACATGGCTGTAAATTTTACCTTCATCATTGCTGAGCACTTCTGGATCAGAATGTGATTCTGTGACCTTTGACCTGAGGTCAGGTCACTGCCATCCCAGGCCAGAGTGTACAGCTTGGTCTTCCTAAGGGCCTCTCTTGTGGACCACAGGTAACTATATAAAACAGGTGACAGTGATAGTATATAAATATAGTCCCTTGACGAGGTTGAACCATAGATACATGTATATTGACTTCACAGAAATGCCTATCGACCGAGCAAGAATGTCATTCTTTTCTAAAGCTTTACACTAAAACAAAATATGATGATCTTACCCCACAGTTGGTACAAACTTGAGTTTGTCTACATTTGACAGCAGGACAACACTAACATTTTGCTGCTGATGAGGTGTCATTCTGCCTAAAACAGGAACCGGCCTCCATCCATCTCCACTGTCATAATGCCAGGAACCTGATAATTAAGTATAAAATGTCAGAATAAACAGACATATACCCATTATGTAGGATTCCAAAGTCCAATGGTGACACCCAATGTTGATGGTCTGCACCAAAACCCAATGGTCTGGCAGGCCAAATCTGAAGGTGTAGTTGGAAAAAAGTTATCATTTTTGACATTTTATAATTATACTATTGCACAGAATTGTAATTTCATGCCATGCTAAGGTTATTAAGAATACTCCAAAATAGAACTACTAGTCCTGATTTCTTCAGTGGGTACAACTGTACAAGGCCAACCTTCATCTCTAGGATTAGTGTAAGACTAACCCTAATCGCTTGATAGGTGTTCAATCACATACTACATATCTTTGGTGATAAACCATCCAATTTTGTGTGACCTACAGACTTAGGAGTTTTCAGACAAAGCAAGGAGACTGTAAGCAATAATTTATTTTTCAGCATTCCCCTCTGAAGCCTTACCCAATTCCTCTGACACTGTCCCCAGTAGAGCTAACCCTAACACATCCCTGTCCTCGTCTGTAAACACCAGGTCACTGATCTCCCCCGCTGTAAACTCCCGGGCACCAGAGTACGGCTGTACTAGGACTGAAGACAAGGTGTCCATTGTTTTCTCTGGGGAAGTCAAATATGGGGCATTGTTTACGGCTAATATCTAAATGAAGAGAAAATAAAATTTCATGCATTTTGTTTGAAATAATACACAATTTTCTGTTCAGTAAGAATTTAATAATAGTCACTGTAATGTCATAGGTAAAGCATCATACATGAATTGGTGATATGCTAAATAACTAACTAAAGTACATGTATATCTGTAAAATAAATTTTAAACATCAAACAGTGTATCATTACCATTAAAGTGAACATAAACTGGTCTCCAGAATTTAAAGTCAGAACAAATCGTATTTCTCCACTATAAGCAGGATGTATTTTGACATATAGTGACTTAGAAGTCCTTCCATAACCCTCGTCATCCAACACCACGCCTTTAGAGGACACTCTCCTCCACTGAAATTCCCCTTCAGATCTGGTAACTAGGGAAGCCACTGGCAAACCACGGGAGTCCATAGGAACCCTGTAGAGGGCCACTCGTAAAGGGAAGATAACTCTACCTGCCATTGATTCTAGACCTTCTCGGTAGATTTCTGTTACATTCTCCGATGACACAATTTCTTTATCAGATACAATTTCAGGAACTTCATCTGCGAATGAAAAGTTGGCATAGGTTATCAGTAAGTAACAATAAAATATACTGACTTTGTAACCATACAATAGTAAAGTTAGGCCAAACAAAAAAATATCCTTGTTTACTGTTACATGCTGAAATAAAATAGGGTCGGTAGGTAGGAATTTTTTTTTTTTTTTATTGAATTTTTTTATACACAAATTCACATGAATTGGTTGAATTACAAAACAATTTTACCATTGTATGGTGCTTTACTTTTGTTTGGCTTGAAATATGGGTGGTTTCTTGCCAACTGCCTTACAACTCAGGGGTGTGCAATTTAAAAAAATCAAGTACTAGCCCACAGGCTTGTAACAGCAATCAAGTTACTAGCCCAAAGTTAAAAGTGAGCAGCCCAAATATACAGGGTTTAAACTTAACTGAAATTTCCACGAGCCATGTGGGCTCCTGACATTTCAAATTTAGGAGCCCACTGCTAAATTTGTTAGCCCACAGTCTCTGTGATTTTTTTAAAAAGCATAGATACTGGGAAAAAAAGTAGATAAAAATGAAATACATATATAAATTCATCTGTTTAAAATTGGAGTTCTTACTTTATAAAAATCAGAAATCATATAAATATTTAATCAAAGGAAATAGAATTGTATTCAAAAAACATTTTTACTATCGTTTTTTTTTTACTTGGTAATACATGTATATAAATACATAGCTCTGGTACACGTCTTCAAATGATAAATTGACAATGACACAATAAGATTTTCTAGGTTAAATATTTTAGCTGCAACATATCTGAAATAGGTGAAAACACTTACTATTCATATGACTGATTAGTTGGGAGTTTATAAAATTGTACATCTCTCACGTATCAACCATTTACAGAGGGTTGGAGGAAATTCGGATTAGGAAAAAAAAACGATCGTTTTAGGGAATTTCAAAAATCGTGTAGTACTTTAAATGGAAAAGATGAAGGATATTTACGAACAGTAGGACCATACTGCTGTGATTTATTTCATTTTTGTGTAGTTTTAAATCAAAAACCTGCATAAAATGTCTGTTTTTCAGTAAGGAGACTGGGAAAGAATTTTTATTCGCCACGTGGGCGAGCAACTTACGATTTTTATGAGCCCACACCAATTTTTACTCGCAATTTGCGAGTGGGCGAGCGTTAAGTTTAAACCCTGATATAGGGGTAAAAATTGTAAAAACAAATATTGTAAAAAGTTCAATGTTGAGAAAGTCAGGATCCTAAGCCATCCCTTTTAAAGTTGAAGTTTAAAAATTTGAAGATATTATATTATCTTTTCTTTTCTGAACATATTGTACTAGCAGTTTAGCTTATCTAAAATGAAGCAAAATCATTTTATTTTCATTTCAAACCATCAAATACAATTGATATATATTAAAGTTTAACCACACAACACTTAGCTATTTAGTTGATAGGGGGGCCGTAAATAATGGAAAGAGATATCTGTATGTATTTACCAATAACAGAGGAATGGAGGAAATTCGGATTAGGAAAAAACGATCGTTTTTTGAAGTAAATAAGTCAGGTAGTACTTCAAAATGGATAAGGTTAAAGTAATTTAAGTACAGTTGGAGCATGCTGCCTGGAAAATTTTCATTAGTTGGAAATTAAATAGCAAAACAATGAGTGAAAATACCGTTTGTATTTCTCATGTATTATATGCATAATTTTAATTTTTACTACCCCAAAAATGGTAGCACCGGGCATCAGGCGATGCTAGTTGCACACCCCTGCAACTGCCACGCAATGGTAAGCAAATTGCAACGAACTCGTTGGTGTAGAAATTGAACTCGCTGGTTTTGTTTTTGTACTTTCAATTTCGATTTCAAAGATGAATGTAAAAGTTAAACTGACCGCCGCCAGTAACTTCCGGATTTTTACGACGAAAAAAAAGTTTGGGTCGGCGATGAAAATTAGGGTCGGTCGGGTAACCGTAAACAAACATATTTTTTTGTTATGCCTAATCTACAGGAGACTACTGCAACTGTGTTTGTAGTTGGATGTTACTAAGGGCGAGCATTTCAAAATTGAACAATGCTGTATCAAACATGTCTCTAAAAAATTCAAAAGTCATCATTCATTCAATATAAAAAAAATTCATATCAGTTTATATAACACAGAACAGAGAGAAATCCTAAAAATTTGGAAATGAGAGCTTGATTAAGTTAAATTTCAATAACCCATTACAGTAATATTACTGTAAATAACTTCTCAAAACATACATGTAATAATGTTCATGACTGCATAGCGCTCAAGCACATTTTAAAAAGTTGAATTGCTTTGAAATTCTCTCACTTTTTCATTAAATAATTTTCATTTTTGACAAAAGAAACTTCAAAGATTTACTTGCACAAATTCTCAAAATATTGTGAAAGATCCATCTGACAATCTTTCATTAACCTTGACGTTGAAAGTACAAAATCAGTGATTTTGTCTTCAGATTTACTATCATACCTGATATATTGACGTGAAACATCTTGTCCCATTCATCAAACATCCAGTGGGTCACCCCCTCTGTGACATTTGTAGAAGTCATCACCATGGAAACTGTTGGGGTAGCGGTTTTTGGAATGGCAACAATTCCTATATACTGGAATTCCATGTCAACTGAAAGTAGAAATATGTCCATAGGACTTAAATGCCTTGTCTAAGGTTCATGTGAATTTTTATTAGTGCTTGATGTTTGATAAAAGAAATATGAATGTTTCTGTAAAACTGTGCTTTGTGCACAATAAAGAGTATTTAAAATGAACACAATAATCATTGCTATATTTACTGTCAGGTGGGAGGGACAGGACTCTGCAGGTGACCACCCCCCTCTCCTCCCCGTCAGTAGTGACTGTGATCAGCTGACTCAGGTCCACATCCATCTCACCCAGGACTGCTCTCCCTACAGTTACAATAAAGCAAGGCTATTACATCACAAGAACATAGGTAATCAGAGATTACAGAGCTCACCTCAACGAATGTTGTCTTTAAGTAAGGCAAAGTCACACAATTAACCAACAAAAAGTATACATTCCAAAAATGAAAATGTTTTTAAAAGCAATTTTGATCTGATACTTTGAAATAGACCTACATAAAAAATTTAAACTGCTTCTTCTTCATGAAAATGTAATGAAAACCCAGCATCTGAAGCAAGATTGAGAGTTTTCATCTCTTTATGCAGCATTTGTGCAAGTTTGGTTTATACAATGTTATATAAGCCTTATAGTTTTTGGTAATAGACCTGCAACCATAACTTTTACCTTGTCTATTATCTGAAAAATGGATGTCCAATTCAGCATCCGAAGCAAGTCCATTAGTGTGCATCCTTAGATGTATCATCCATGCAAGTTTGCTCATTATAGGGCTCATAGTTTATTGGAAATGAAACATGCATCAAAACTAACATTTTCACTCATCCACAAAAAGTAGATCAGATTCAGCATCCGAAGCAAGCCTGGATAGTATACATCCTTATATGTATCATCCATGCAAGACTGGTCATTAAAGAACTCATAGTTCCTTGGAAATGAAACCTGCACCAAAAACTTTTAACTATTCACTCAACCGGAAAATGTAGGTCAGATTCAGCATCCGAAGCAAGCCTGGTAGTGTGCATCCTTAGATGTATCATCCATGCAAGTTTGGTCAACATGCTTAAATTTTGCAAATGAAACCTACACCAAAAACATTAACCTGTTCGCTCAACTGGAAAATGTAGGTCAGATTCAGCATCCGTAGCAAGCCCGGTAGTATGCATCCTTAGATGTATCATCCATGCAAGTTTGGTCAACATAGGGCTTATAGTTACTTTGAAATGAAACCTGCACCAAAAACTTTAACCTGTTCACTCAACTGGAAAATGTAGGTCAGATTCAGCATCCGAAGCAAGCCCGGTAGTACATCCTTAGATGTATCATCCATGCAAGTTTGGTCAACATAGGGCTTATAGTTACTTGGAAATGAAACCTGCACCAAAAATGTTAACCTGTTCACTCAACCGGAAAATGTAGGTCAGATTCAGCATCCGAAGCAAGCCCGGTAGTATGCATCCTTAGATGTATCATCCATGCAAGTTTGGTCAACATAGGGCTTATAGTTACTTGGAAATGAAACCTACACCAAAAACTTTAACCTGTTCACTTAACCGTAAAATGTAGGTCAGATTCAGCATCCGAAGCAAGCCCGGTAGTATGCATCCTTAGATGTATCATCCATGCAAGTTTGGTCAACATAGGGCTTATAGTTACTTGGAAATGAAACCCACACCAAAAACTGCACCAAAAATGTTAACCTGCTCCAAAAACATTAACCTGGTCATTCCTTTGCTGAAACTTTGACTGGTACAATGAAACACACTAGAAACATCTTCCATGCATGTCTAATCAATATAGGACATAGAAGTACTTAAAAAGAAAACTGCTCAAAAAAACTTAACCTTACGAGGGTATTCAGCTCCCCCAACTTCGTTGAGGTGAGCTAAAAAACAACCGTCGGAAACATTGTATTATGTTAGTTAAGATGTATAGAAAAGCTAGGTACAATGTAAAGTTTACTTTTACCAGAGATTTGACAAAAAACTACTGAACATTTCTATATTTTCTTTCTAAAATTAATCTTGACATTCTCTTTCTTCTGTTTTAAATATAATTATGTAATTTTTCTAGAGGCAGGTATTAATAAATGACCCTCCATCAAACCTGCGTAAAAGCGGACTCCCGAAGTTTGGTTACAGCTGAGTCTGGCAGTGTACTGCTGCTTGAGACTTCTACTTTGTGGGACATACTGAGACAGTCTGAACTGGACAGTGTCGTACACAGTGACTGCTCTGTCAACCAGAAGGAGGCGGGCACCAGCTGAGGGGGGAGAATTAGTTGAAGTTGGGACGAGTTTGTCTGTAATCAAAGGTTTGAATCTTTTGTACATCCACATGACATTCTGACTGCTATTTTAGATCACGTTTTTAATATTTGCTGGACTAATAGTTTTTTTTAAATGTTTTATACAATATACTGTCAACCAATTTTTGTTCACAACATCTTTTGTTCACAATTATTCAGTCTGGAATCCATCCATGGCTAGTGATTTTCATGACAGAAGCAATGTTACATAAATACAAAGTGAGTAAATTGTTTGTGACAATTAAGAAATAGGTAGAAAAACTCACAGACACTTCTCGCTTATGAATAAAAGTTGGTTTACAATTTTAAGTTTGAAAAACTACCTTCTTTTCCTGTACACGTTCTCTCTACACAGCGAGCAGATGCCAGGCAGAAAACCTAGGGTAAAAAAATTATTATGTCAATTTACAAAAATAAGTACAAGATAGAGACATATCTTTAAAGGTTTTTTTTTTCATATTAAAATTGTTTTTGGATCTATACGTTGGATCCATTTAATCCTACCTGGTTGGGGGGACATTTTGAGGCTGGGGAGGGGGACACAGTGGTCGGGGGTCCCAGACAGGGCTCAGAGTTCTTCACACAACCTCCTCTGGCAGGGCAGTAGTATTCCTTAAGATAAATTCCTTATCATATTTAACTTTATATACATATTAAAACACATAAACATTTTCTTTGGTTTAAATGCATTGGCAGTTTTGGCACTAACATAAAATGTCGAGACTGGCATCAATGAAAAAAAAACTTGGTTTATATTAACAGAGGTCACATGATTAATTGGTTGAATATTTGCCCTTTAGTTTGTAACCAAAGTTGCTGTAATTAGTTTATATGTAAATACCAACAACACTATATGTCTTAATTTTAAACAGGAAGTCAATATAACACAGAGTAACATTTACCTGCTGAGGGTCACACATGTAGGGGGAGGGTGTGGCACAGTTTGTATCTCTCTCTACACATCTTCCTGACTTCAGGCAGAATACCTTTGAAAAGTATGAAAGTGCTTTAATTTATAAAACATTTATTTATTATTGAGTAGAAATTATGTAGCATACATGTTGGCATAAAAAGAAAACATCCGTGCATTTAAACACATTTATATGGAACTTTTGTACATGAACATGCAGTTAACATCTTATTACACGCATTTGCCTTTTTTCTTTTTAAAGATAGTTTCCAAATTTTACAATCAGAGGGTACTCATGACTACAAAGATTTCATGAATCTCTTAATAACTACAATCACCCAATCATCCACCCACCTGTCCCTCTGTACAGGAGTCGCCAATTACTTGGGGTGGGGCTGTGGTGGTCTGTGACCCCCGGGAATCACAGCTTCCCTGCTTTGGTAAGCACCTGCCCTTCTGGAGACAGAAATACTCATCATCTTCACATTTATGTGTTGTCATCCCTCCTCCACTTCCCCCCTCACAACTCTCCCCCCTGGGTATACACCTATCAGTGGTCATACAGTACACCTCCCCAGTACCACATCTACTGTCAACCCCATCATCCCCAGTACTGCCACAGTCCCTCACTCTGGGGACACATCTGTTCCTCTGCAGACAGAAATACTCCTCTTCCCCACATTTACTGTGAGTCTCTGATGTTGGAGTTGGTGGAGTCTGTTCACCCTCGCAGCCTCCTGAGATGCTGACACATCTGCCTCTCTGTAAACAGAAGTACTGGTCACTGCTACACTTCGTCTGGACAGATTCCACCAATTTTTCCATTTCTTTTCCACACCCTTCCTTGGGCTGACATTTACCAGAGGCAAGGCAGAAAACCTCATTCTCTGTACATTTCCCCTGCACTGTTGGTCTGGTTTCACCCCCTCCCTCATTACAGTTTGTTCCGCGGGGGACACATGTTCCCCTCTGGAGACAGAACACTTGGTCTTCAATACAATGGGATGTTGTGGGTTGCACGGTTGGTCCTGGGAAAGAGCAGCCATTATCCTTCTGAACACATCTTCCTGAGGCCAAACAAAATACCTGAAAACAAATCAATTAAACTTTCATTTTATAAAATGATTGATTTCTTTTTAAACTTAAAGGCTCACATTTTTCCATGTATAAATCAAAGCCTTTAAACCATTTTGTTAATTGTACACTTAAGAATTACCTCCCCTTCAGAACACTTGGTCTGTAACCTTGACGGTTCCGTACACTGTTCTCTGCATTCTCCATTGACACAGTATCTCTATAACCAAAATAACACCCAATGTTTTACTATGAATGATTCACATAATTGTATTTTTGTTTACCTTTGGAATATAAGGTATCAGAAAATATTTTGCATTATTCTGTTTTCAAATGTCTCGGGAATCACTGGATATTCAGGCATTTTCTATATTTCCCCTTCTTTATTACTGTAACTGTTCACATGTATAATTAAAATCATTCAATTTTGGGCAATGTCTTGGTATAAGGAGTGGTTGGTATAATTGTAAATTAACACTGCAGATGTCTTTTTCATGCATTGTTCAAACCGACAGGTAGATTGGCCTCGTAATAGTGTGTTTGTGTGTTTTTGACGTTAGTTAGTGTGACACTCTCAAAGATGGGGTAATAATCAAAGTACTCAGAAGTACTGAAAGCCGGGCTCATTTACAGGGTAATGAACAAAGACCGCAATGACAGTTTAAAAACAAGCTGATTCAGACATTGAAAAGATGATTATATATATCTATATATGTCATATATAGCATTAAAAAGCTTTAAAATTAATTAAAATGTAGCTATAATTTAACAGCGTAAAATATGTGTCACATGTATCATTTCGGGGTTTTACATACCAACAGAAGTAAATGAACACTGATGCAGCAAGATTATTTAAGGTCAAACAATTATGCACAGATGGGTCTTCAGCGGGGAGTTTTGCATCAAAGCGTACATCAAGTCATTAATGGTGTTCCCCGCATTTGTATTAGTACACCCTTTATTTATAGAATATGACGCAGACAGGGATACCTGATGAAAACCTTTCGCATATTTTAACCAAATGATTAATCATTGAAAACGATATAAAGTATTTTATTATAATTATTTTTTGACAATTTTAGATAACTATGAAAGTTTAATTCAGTTTTTGTATTGCCTCAAAGGTGATTGCGCAGACGTACTATATTCTAACTCGTAAATTTAATTTGGCGGTGAAGAAGCAGCATTTTCTGTTGCTCACCGTCGCAATAGCCGGGCATTTCTCTACGAGAAATGAGCCCGGCTAAAAAAATGTTATAAAAGAAAAAGTTATAAACATATGTTCTTGAATTTTAAAACATACCAATTTGATAATCTCTCCGTCATATTTATAATTTTTTAAAATAAATCCTTTGCATGGATCATATTTTGTAGTACTCTATAAAAACAAAGAAATTCGTTATTTTTTGGCATTTTGAGACGCCCCCTCTGGAAACAGGGCGGTAGAATTTTGTGGTTCTTACATATAATGTACAATATAGTATTACCCATCATATATTATAGTTTGAGCAAAAAGTCTGTTGTAGTGTTTGTATAATGCTTTAAAGTGCAAAAAATTGGCACTTTCCTCTATAATCCTATAGTAAATTATCTGTATTATGAGACGATCCCTTAAAAATACCTGGGCGGTAGATGTAGTGTATTGATATTTCCCCAAACTTTGTATGTACACTCAAGTTAACGTAAGTTATATATGGTATAAAAATGAATAGTTTTGCTATTGTAGTTTTCACACAATAAAACCACAGTCGGCCCCCTTAAGACAATTTATATGGACAAATAGAAATACATGTTACATGTTTTCTTATGCAACATACTAAAGTTTTTCAGCTTTATATTTGATAAGCCAATACTCTGACAGGCAACCTAATCCAATATGTCCAGCGCATACAGCACCCCCTCCTCACAGTCCTGTACAGTAACAGTATAACTCTATTTTTGTCTGTGTACTTACTGTTCCCGGTGGACAGATTCCCCCTGTGGACAGCAAACTTGGTACTGATGTGATGAAATTGGGCGGTGTGGTGAAAACCTGAGTGAAGCCCTCCACACCCCTCCATCCCACACCAACAAACACCAGGCCTAGGCCAACAAGGGCTGTCAAAATAATAATATGCCAAGTTTGTCAGAAGAAGTTTGATACGTGTATATTACCATTTCTAATTTTTCTCTCTTTCAAAGTTAGCGGAGTTAATTTCTTGATAATTCTACCGGAATGTAAATTAGGCAGGTCAATAGGTCAGGAGCTAAGAGGCCTAATATGCATGCAAATCTCGTGCGCATCTGTCTCTGAGTCTGATGCTAAGGAGGCCAAATATGCATGTAAATCTCGTGTGGCTGCCATTGCGTTTGACGTCAGTGGGCGAGGGCTATTGAAATTGGGATGGGAATCCTCGTGTAAGGCCTAGAAAAAAAATATGTTTGTTTCCGCTTTCCCGACCGACCCTAATTTATAGTGTCGACCCTAAATATTTTTTTAATGCTTTTGTCCCATGATGTGCAAGATTTCAACCAGGGAATTATAGCCTCCAACTTTGCAAGCTTTTCAAGACAGAAAGAAGTTTGGGTCACCTTTCTATCATAATTTTAGTCACAGTAATGCTTGAAAACACCATTTCTTTTGTCATTAATGTTACTTCTATACACGTTTTGATTAAAGAAGCAAAAAAATTTTTTTCAAAAAAACAAAAATTTCCTACCTACCTACCCTATATTTTTTCAGCCTGAAAGCGGAAACAAACACATTTTTTTTCTAGGCCTAATTTAAATATATGTCTGCATTTTTAAAGTCTGAAACATGGGATAATTTATCCCATGTTTCCCACTATTGTTGATGCCCTGGCATACTATACTAACTAGACAGTGACTCCTTAAATAACTTCACAATGAGATGGAAATAAAAGGAATCTGACTGTCTAGTTTGAGTATGCCAGGGATTTGATTTCAAAAACATTTTATGGAAACGTGGGATAATTTTTGCATATAACTCCAAGGTGAGGGTTAAAAGGTAAAAATTATTAGCCTAGTATCCAAACTTTAAAGAGGGAAAACAGTGTCTTTTGCTGGTTGACCCCAGACTGGCCCCGCAAGCAGGAATATCTTTTTGATTGTAAATGTTGTCTATATAAAATATAAATACACATGTGAATAATGAAATCCATACACTTTGTAGCACCAACTATTCAAAAGTTATCATGAGCTATGCATGGCCAAAGTTCGGTACTTTTTTGCAAAAGTGGTTCAAACTCCAAGTTCGAGGTCAAAAATGCTGGTACCTAATAAATTAAAAATTCTTGACATAAGAAATACACATGTGAAATATAAAAGCCATTAGCCCTAAACAATCAAAAGCTATGGCCTTATGGGTAAGGTTAAAATTTTTGCAGACAGATAAATGGACATACTTGGCAAAACTTAATTGTATCCCTGCCTCTCCAATAACAGGGGTATTGAACGTGTTAGGAACCAGAAGTCTCTGTCGAGACTGTAGCTCTACTGGTTTGTACTTATAACAAAGGATGAGAAAAGAAGCCATTGCCATCAGACCAAAACTGTAGGAGGAGTAGCGTTTTAAAGGAATATCACAGAAATTTCAATGTGAGGTAACCATGGCAACACCGTTCATCAAAATCAAAAACCGATGCACTAGTTTATGTATCTTAGTGTAGTCTAGTGTAGTATACTTGTGTGCCAAGTTATATTGAAATCAGACCAAAACTGTAGGAGGAGTAGCGTTTTAAAGGAATTTCACAGAAATTTCTATTTTTAGTAACCATGGCAACACCGTTCATTGAAATCAAAAACCAATGCACTATTTTATGTATCTTAGTGTAGTCTACTTGTGTGCCAAGTCATATTGAAATCAGACCAAAACTGTAGGAGGAGTAGCGTTTTAAAGGAATTTCACAGAAATTTCTATTTTTAGTAACCATAGCAACACCGTTCATCAAAATCAAAATCCGATGCTCTGTTTTATGAATCTTAGTGTAGTCTACTTATGTGCCAAGTTATATTGAAATCAGACCAAAACTGTAGAAGGAATAGCATTTTAAAGAAATTTCACAGAAATTTCTATTTTTAGTAACCATGGCAACACCGTTCATCGAAATCAAAAACTGATGCACAGGTTTATGTATCTTAGTGTAGTCTAGTTGTGTTCCAAGTTATATTGAAATCAGACCAAAACCGTAGGAGGAGTAGCTTTTTAAAGAAATTCTACAGAAATGTCTATTTTTAGTAACCATGGCAACACCGTTCATCGAAATCAAAAACCGATGCACTAGTTTATGTATCTTAGTGTAGTCTACTTGTGTGCCAAGTCATATTGAAATCAGACGCAAACTGTAGGAGCAGTAGCGTTTTAAAGGAATTTCACAGAAATTTCTATTTTTAGTAACCATGGCAACACCGTTCATCAAAATCAAAAACCGATGCACTAATTTATGTATCTTAGTGTAGTATACTTGTGTGCCAAGTTATATTGAAATCAGACCAATACTGTAGGAGGAGTAGCGTTTTGAAAAATTGTTTACAGACAGACGGACAGACAGCTAGACAGACAGACGGACGGACGACGGACACCTTACTATCGCATAAGCTCTTCTGGTCTCTGACCAGTAGAGCTAAAAATTAGGAAGAGGGCAATTTAAGTTTTTAGAACTTGTGCCCAATCCCATTGTATATATTTTGTGCAATAAAATATGTTCAAATCGAACGTGTATTGATGAAAAATGCTGTGTTTTCAAAAGTACACATATTCTATTACCTGATTATTAATGAAAACAAGATGTGTTTGTGACCCTGTATGTTGAATTCTCTCAAATGCAAGACAAACTCCAAAGGTCAAGGTAAAAATTGTTAGTACCCACAGGAAGTCCTCATTACAAAAAATACACCTGTGAAATATGAAAACCCTCGTTCTAACTGTGCAAAAGTTATGACCATGGTTAAAGTTTATAAAAAGTGGGTCAAACTCTTAGGTCAAGGACAGAAGGTCAAAAATATTTATACCTGCTGAAAGGTCTTGTCACAATGAATACACAGGTGAAGTATGAAAGTCCTAGCTCCAACTGTTCAAAAGTTATGACCAAGGTTACAAAGTGGTATTTTTTTGTAAAAGTAATTCAAACTCTAAGGTCAAAGTCAAAAGGTCAAATTTGGTGGTACCCAAAGAAAGGTCTTGTCACAAGGAAAAAATACACCTGGATAAAAAGCCATAGCCCCATCACCTCAATACTTCAGGGCTAGGTTAAAGTTGACAAGTCAACAGACAGAAACACAGACAGGGCAAAAACAATATACCCCGATCTAGAGGCATAAATTAAAAGTATAAAACACTGGGACCAACATGTCTATGAAATTTCATCGCTATGTCGTTATTCGTTTTAACCGTATAAGAAATTCATTTTTATATCCTGTCGTTACCGGTTTTCGATAGTGTAAAACTTTAGTTAAAAATTTAATCTAGGCATGTATGTTTTTCTCACCTCAATTATTTATGTATTATTAGTCAACAATAAATAAATATATTCAGACATTTATTTGTTTTTGAAATCAAGAATTTCAGAACTGTTTCAACTTTCTTTGGATCCGCCATAATCCGAGTTGTTTTGAATGACGTCACCTATTTTCGATAGCAAGTATGGCGCACAGTTATTGTCATTAAAACATCGAATTATGTTATGTTGTGTGAGTTTTTGTTTTCTTTTATTTGTTTTTTGTCATTTTTTTCTGGTATTGGATTTTTTAGTCCTGTTTTCAACTATAATCTTAACAACAAATAAAATATATTTAATTATAACATTAAATTTTTTTATTTTTTGGTTGAAATTTTATAAAATTGAAATTTCAAGCCAGGAGCCATTGTCTGCTTGGAAAGCATTATCCATAGCCTTTGGTCTATAATAATTCTTGTAATTTCCCCTTTTGATGGAAAATATCCAGTCTTCACGAAAACTCACTGGTCCGAAGACCGAGGCCAGTGAATTTTGAGGTCGGGTCAGTGAAAATCAAAATTCAAGAAGTCCCATGGGCTTGTTGATTATAAAAATCATACACAGTCAAAATTTATTTCAACTGACTTACTTGCATAAATTTCATTACATAAAATAAAAAGAACAAGATCGTGTTGTTGAATCGTACTATTATAACCCTATTTTAACATGGATGTATTACGTAACAACCGGAACTAGCTAGTAACTATTAACTAGTACGTAAAATGTGCAAAGTTCCAATGAACAACTTACCGAAACGCGACAAAGGGCGAAAAATGGCGGCATTTTAAAAGTTGAAGTACGTAAACATGTATAATTTTACAGTTATGAAAATGTATTTATTTCATTTTTTAAGTAAGGGGTCAGTAAAAATTTTGGTGGGCTAGTAAATTTTGAAAGTTCACTGGTCCGATTGGCCAGTTAGTTTGAAAAGTTTTCGTGAAGACTGAATTTCTACAAAAAAACGAACAATAAATCAACAGAAACAAAACTTAAAACATTAAAAGATGTCAAAATTTAAAATAAAATACCCGTAAAAGGCCTCCATACTTTATTTTTTTAAGCGGAAGTTTGCCCAAAGTGAGGCTTATCTATTTTTAAGCCATAACACAGAGCTTTTTAGCAGACGATAACATTTTAAACATCAAATGTTGTTTTCAGGCTTAGGAGATAAGATTTTAGAGTGAATTTTTTGGCATTATGAGAAAAGGGCGTGATTTGAATCAGGGCTCTCGATTCTCTAAATCTGGGGCCGATATTCGGCCCTGTTCCCAATGCAAAAAAGGTACCTTTTTTTCCAAAAGAAAGGTGTAAATTTCCCAATTTCCATAGCAAAATATTAATTAAACAAGAGGCCCACGGGCCTTATAGGTCACCTGAGTATTGTGTAACAACTTTCAAACAATTAAATTTGGTTCTCGTTTTAAACCAGAGGCCATGGAATTTACAATTTACAATTTTGAAAGAGGCACCATGGCTTATCATAATTATTAATTTAGCATGCTTACTCTATTTACTTAATACCCAGAGGTAGATCAGAGTAACAAAGAGAAAATGCACTTCCACTTTAAACCCAGTTGTGCACCTCACCCTAAAGGAACCACTGACCCATGGGCCACATATTTCAAAATTTTGCAAATGTTATCATAAAATGGTTGATTGATACCAAAGAGCAGATTTCAAAGCATTAATTTTTTTTCAGACTATATAAAACCCCCCCCCTCCCTCTGACCCTGGGGGCATAAAAAAACCACTTTGATAGATGCACCTTTCTTCATCATAGATATATATATTTGGATCATTGGCATAAAACCCAGAAGCAAAGGAAAATATTTTCAAAGAATTTATTTTTACTATATAATCAATAGAGCCCCGCCCTAACACCAGAACCCCTAACCCTGGAGCCATGAAATTCACAATTTTGGAAAAGGCACTCTTCCTCATCAAAACTATGTGCTTTGTTAGTTTATCTAATACCCAGAAGCAGAGAAGAAGATTTTCAATGAATAATGAATTTTCACTATATAATCAATAGAGCCCCGCCCTAACACCAGAACCCCTGACCCTGGGGCCATAAAATTCACAATTTTGGTAGAGGCACTCTTGCTCATCATAACTATGTACTTAGTTAGTTTATTTAATACACAGAAGCAGAGATGAAGATTTTCAAAGAATTAATGCATTTTCAATATATGATCAATAGAGCCCCGCCCTAACACCAGAAGCCCTGACCCTGGGGCCATAAAATTCACAAATCTGGAAGAGGCACTCTTGCTCATTATAACTATGTGCATAGTTAGTTTATTTAATACTTAGGAGCAGAGAAGAAGATTTTTAAAGAAATAATGCATTTTCACTATATAATCTATAGAGCCCCGCCCTAACACCAGAACCCCTGACCCTGGGGCCATAAAATTCACAAATCTGGAAGAGGCACTCTTGCTCGTGATAATTATGTGCT